GTGGGGCTTATACTCCAGTGGGGCTTATACTCCAGTGCGGCTTATACTCCAGTGCGGCTTATACTCCAGTGGGGCTTATACTCCGGTGCGGCTTATACTCCAGTGGGGCTTATACTCCAGTGCGGCTTATACTCCAGTGGCGCTTATACTCCGGTGCGGCTTATACTCCAGTGGGGCTTATACTCCAGTGGGGCTTATACTCCAGTGGGGCTTATACTCCAGTGCGGCTTATACTCCAGTGCGGCTTATACTCCAGTGCGGCTTATACTCCAGTGCGGCTTTTACTCCGGTGCGGCTTATACTCCGGTGCGCCTTATACTCCAGTGGGGCTTATACTCCAGTGCGGCTTATACTCCAGTGGGGCTTATACTCCGGTGCGGCTTATACTCCAGTGGGGCTTATACTCCAGTGCGGCTTATACTCCAGTGGGGCTTATACTCCGGTGCGGCTTATACTCCAGTGGGGCTTATACTCCAGTGGGGCTTATACTCCAGTGGGGCTTATACTCCAGTGCGGCTTATACTCCAGTGCGGCTTATACTCCAGTGGGGCTTATACTCCAGTGCGGCTTATACTCCAGTGGGGCTTATACTCCGGAAAATACAGTAGTCTATGTTTGCAGTCAGTCAAAGTAGAACTAATGCGATCATACGCATTGGCAATCAAGAGTGCAGTTGATATTAAATGTTATCATGAGGAGGTAGACCAAACCAGAGTGTGCAGCTCCGCATCTATGCTGCATGATGCCACAGCCATGGCAAAGTTGTTTAGTTCATCATGAATCATAGAATACATCTGACCTACTGTTGTAGGCGTAGTGATTATTCACCGTGTCACTACAATCGGAGATCCGCGTGCATTTTTCATCTATTGTGTGCCAAGCGGCAATGCGCAGGAGAATTTATTTTGGTGTCACTACTAGTAAGTTCGATGAAACTTCCTACGCTGGTTGTGTTTCTCAACTGTATAGCCGGTGGTAACGCGGACGTGCAAACTTTACTCTTTTTTTTAGTAAGTTGGAGTATAAGTTAGTAGTTGAATCATATGATGGTAAATACTGTCGCGGACATGGAAATCCAGTCGATTGACCGGGGCCGGCGCCCTCAGCACATATAGAATGTAAGTCGTTACATGCAGTGCACAGTCATGTTGATCCGATGCGACCAGCAGCAGCAGCAGCAGCAGCGCATACTTAGTACTAGTAATACAACGTGCTACGGCTGTATGGCCAGCGCCCTGGGGCCGCTAGACGTGCGACCGGATTTCCATGTCCATGACAGTACATGCCTGCCTACACATGCTGTGTATGCTGCTAGTTGCAATCTGCTGTGCACTGACTAGGTTCCATGCACAACTGGTGCTGCTGCTGCTGCTGCTACTGCTGTTGGTGATGGTTGGGCTGGTGGCCAGAAGAGAGCTCTGCGCCAGATTTTAACTTTGCAGCCAAGAGAACGTGCGTTTACCACCACTTGGCCAGGCGTGTCTTTAGCACCATATAATTCAACCATAAGTACAGCTGCAATGGAGTCTTCAAAATGCATTCTCCCCGAGTCGAAACTCCGTGTGAAGGCATCCAAGAAAAAGTTTGCCTGATGAGTCAAGCCGGGACGAAACGTACGTCGCGATCGAACCAAATCGCTGCTGTATCATCTTCTATGTGCCAAGCGTTGCCTGATGTGCGAGCCCGCTATGTCAGATACCACTAGGCGAGTAGCCGTGCATCGACTAGGCACCGTGCGCAAACTGGGTGGGTGGGTGTGTGGGTGTGGGTGTGTGTGGGTGGGTGTGTGTGGGTGGGTGTGTGGGTGTGAAAGCCACTTCATAGCTGTGTGGTGTAGACCAGGCTGAATAGTGGCGGTCAATTCTTCAGCCTTGCAAGTTGTTGAATGGTGCAATCCCAGCACAAGCTGCTACGGCTTCTGCTGTAGCATCGCTATCATCGCCTTCGGCGATGGGCGTCCAATGGTGTTTGTGTGTGTGTGTGTGTGTGTGTGTGTGTGTGTGTGTGTGTGTGTGTGTGTGTGTGTGTGTGTGTGTGTTTATAGGTATTTGCAGGGTGCTACGCACCCTTGAAAACCCTTGAAAACCCTGAATGTTTTTCTTCCCCCGGGAATTCCCTGAAATCCCCTCAAATTTTGTATTTTATAGAAAATGTTCCTTGAATCCCCTGAAATTTGTTTTCCAGATCACGCGATCTGGTAGACCTCCGTACTCAACGACTGACTGTACATGATATGCATAGATCTACGAATGCCAGTCCGGTCACCTGTACTGGTCATGTGAGTCGACGGCCTCAGCGGCCAGCGCAGCTCGCGTAGATCTTTACGGTATTTTTTACATTTAAGCCTTGATCGCCATGTACGCTCGACTATCGACTGTGGTACGACGGTTCCTGACTGTAGCGAAACTGGAATCCGCCACTGCAACTGCTTTTCCGTTTTATTTGTTTGTTTTGGCCTTCAACAAGACAAAGTGTCTTCAGTTTTTTTTTGGAATGCCGAAGAAGTTTTACAGAGTTGTACTTGTTCTCCATGCCAAAAGGCAAGTGTGTTTTCAACGATCGCTGGTTGTCTTTGGACCCGTACAAAGACTGGCTAGTTCGCTAAGAACTAAGTGATGGAGAAGCGTGATGGTGACGGTGGCTCTACTACTTGTAGTATTGATGATCAAATCTTCGATTGTTGACATTCTGAATCAGTGAACCTCTGCGTGGCTACGGATATGTGGTGTCTAGCGACTGTATGACATCTGTGAATACCCTTGAAATGCCCCTGGAAATCCCCTGAAATTTTGTGTATATATTGTGCTACGAACCCTGTATTTGTGTGTTGATGTGCATGTGTTTCTGTGTGTGTGTGTGTGTGTGTGTGTGTGTGTGTGTGCACGCACGTGTGTGTTTAGGTTGATCACAGTGCCGGGTTCTCTGAATTCATATCGGCATTGCAGCATGTTTATCCGGAGGAAGTGGCATCACTCAGAGCCAACGCATTTGGCGCACTGTTTGCTGTTGTGGAGCCGAACAAGGTGTGTGCATTGCGCCTGCATACCAGGCTGTTTGTCAATGGCATGAATTACATTGTGTGTGCGTGTTATGCACTACGATGACCTGGCTGGTGAATCTGGTCTATCCTCCCCCACCGTTTAGGAGCCGCATCTGACGCCTGATCATGGGGTGGTGACGTCCGACGGAAGCGGAAAGGTGGTTCTTGACCTGCCCTGTACACGGATCTGTAGCGTCTATTTATTTATTCATCTATGACCTGCGTGTGACCTGCGGACCTGTATATCAGCAAAGCTCTATCCTCTATGTGACTGGAATGCAACGCCAACAAAATGATTGCTCGTGTTATCGGGCTTCACACATCGCAAAGAAGATGTTCCGCTCACTATTCTGTATGAGTGGCTGCATCGATGCAGTGAGATCTGCTAGTGCTTGATTCTGATGAGTGGCTGCATCGATGCAGTGAGATCTGCTAGTGCTTGCTGGCTGTAGCTGGCCAGGTGACCATCCCCGCCACCTTGGCATGCACAGTTAGAGGACAATCCCACCCCCAGCACCTTGGCGTGCACAGTTAGGTGACAATCGCCCCTCCCCAGCGCCTAAGCATGCACAGTTGCACATTGGCAGGGCCAGGTGGCGCCAACTCGAAGACCAGTGCAGTCGGTTGCAACGTAGAACTATGACCGGAGCCAGCCCATTGTGGATCAAGATTCTCTGGTTTCTGGGCTTGTGACTCAATACCATTTTGTGAACCGTTTCCCAAAATCGGTCAAGTTTTGAATTGACCAGTGCCAGTACATGTACGTGTATATTAAATGTCCTCTACTTCAAAGTATGTTCACTGAATGAGCCATGTGATTTTAGATTTTTGCTATTTGCTTCTCTTGTCTTCTGTTGCCTGTTCATCTTTTCCACTCGCAGACGTCCTTGGATGTGAGCTCCGAGACGGATGAGAGCATGTCCAGCCAGCAGCCGATGATATTCGCTTTCCCTCGGGCCAGTCGCTTCTCCTATCTACAGAATGTGCCTGAGGACACGTATGCTCCGTCCGGTGACTTGCTTCTGACGCTGCGCAACATGGAACGGCTGCACGGCTACAGAACCTGCCTGGTAAGTCCACGGACGCCTGCTTTGCGTAGTGTCTTCTTCAGGCTTGTACTGCATGCAGTGCGCGTGCCGATGTGCTCCTGGTGTCGAATTTCTACTGTACAGCAATCAGTGATAACTGATAAAGTAGTGAAAGCATGGATGATATACTAGACGATATCTGTACGAACAGTGCCATGGCTCAGCTGTGAGTGCAGATTTCGGAGTCGGTGCTGCACGTGTGTAGGGGCAAGGTTTCACTTATCATGCCGCACGCGACTGCCACATGCATGGTACAGTAGGTATCGGTAATAGCGTGGGTGTTTGAAAAACGACTTTCTATTCTTATTTCCGATATTTCTTACACGCGAGAATTCATGTGATATGCATGTGCGCAGAGGTAGGAAGGCCATCATACATACAGTACGGCCATCATACATACAGCACGGCCATCATACATACAGTACGGCCATCATACATACACTACGGCCATCATACATACACTACGGCCATCATACATACACTACGGCCATCATACATACACTACGGCCATCATACATACAGTACGGCCATCATGCATACAGTACCAAGAGTGCATAACCCCTAGGGTTCTGGACTCTTGGTACTGTATGTACAAAGTATCGCTGCTGCATATGCTGGTGTTCATAATCCCATAAGCTTACCATGTGTTCATAATCCCGTAAGCTTACCATGTGGCGATGCAACATGAGTTACATGACCACAACAGTTGAACCTGCAGTACTGCGATGCAATGCGAGTCGGATCGGAACTGCATTGGGCAGATGGTATTACTACAGGCGATGCACTTTGTACTAATCTAGCATGTTTTGCTACACAAAGTCCATTCTTAGGACCGATATATTCTACTATGCGATAACATTGCTTGTAAGAAAAAATGTTCACTTGAAACCCATGTTATGATTATGAAACTATGAGAGTTCATTCTTGTAGGCAGTATATTCTTTTACACGACCATGCTATAACCGATACGCACTGTACTTTGACCGCTCGTGCAGTTCGGCTCTATAAGTCGATTTTCACAGCGTACCTGGCGTACTTGTGTACATTCAACGGTCAGTTCAGAGGTCGAATAGTGTGTAGTACGACTGCAATTACAAAGTATTTTTTAAATGAGCAATCAGTGCAAAGTTTCACCACCCAGGGAGGCTGGAAGGGTGGGAAGGTGGAGAGAAAGGGCGAGAGAAAGAGCGAGGGAGGGAGTTACGGACATTTCAAAGTTACGGGCAGTGCCCAGTCCCGGAGCGCCCGGATAAACGATGTACGAATTCTTCTATGCTTTGACAGCTGCACTGATGCAGTACTTCTGTGTGTGTGTGTGCGTGCGTGTCCATGCAACGTGTTGTGTCATTGATAACAGGTTCCCTTTGCCGAGTGGTACGATGCTCAAGATCTGGAGGCAAGGTGTACAGTCCTGCGTCATGTCGCTGACGGCAAGTACGATCATCTTTTGCCCGCTTGGCAAAGCAGTCCTCAGCGGCTGTGCCCGCAGGCTACTAGTGCAACTGCGGAGAAGATTGAGACTGCAGTATAGGAGGTAGTACTAGGGAGTCGGGACCATTGACTTCTCTACTGTGGACTGCGTTGTACTGTCTGCCATCGCTTACCTGGGGTCAAAGGCAGTGCACGCGTGTCAATGAACATGCTGGTTACTCCACTGCAGTGTTGTGCAGTGCAGTGCAGCAACTGTGTAGGTCTGCTCCGTGGCGGTGAGCATTGATCTGATAAGGGCACGGCAATCTGCAGCCAGTGCTGCTGGAGCAGATTTCACTCGAACCTTGAGAGAAAAAGTTAGGCAACTTTCATGTGTGCCACTCTCCCTTCCATCCGTGCGTTTACGGCTACGGAGAAATGCATCAGTGGTGATTTTCATTTCCCAACGCTAAAACAGTTCATCCTTCGCGTCAAGCTGCCCTGTGTACTTTTCTTTCTCTCTTGCTATGCAAGACGATGATTAGACATGTGCACTTTTCAGTCTGTTTAGAACACAGCGTATCCTTTATCCAAGCTACAGTAACCTTGAGGCGCCAGTTGAGCATAGGGTTTCAGGCAGGCTTTTTGTTAGGGGAAGCAATTATTTGCCATCTGCTCATTATTCAAGACATTTAAAGAATGAAAAATTCGATAAAAATACTTTTCGGGTTGGTCTGTTATTAGCTCAAAATAGAAACCATGCCTAAGATATATACCTCGCAGGCAATAACAATTATTGACTATGAAAAACATGGAAAAATTCAATAAAAACACTTTTCGGGGTGGTTTGCAATCTTATTTGCTCAAAATAGAAATCATTCCTAAATATCGTTGCCTCGCGGGCATCAACAATGACTGAAAAGCACTGCTAACTGCTAAGGACTCCACGATTCCAGCTGACTATCGAGATTGGCTACGATGTCGTGGAACGTGGGCCGTTCCTTTCCGTCGTCGTGCCAGCATTTCACCATCAGCTCGGCAAAGGGCGAGGGGCAGTCGGACGGAATGGCCGGCCGATTGCCAGCCAGCACATACTTCATGATGGACGTCAGCGACGGCATGTCTCTGTACGGCACCTTGCGTGCTGCTATCTCCCACAGAACAATAGCGAAGCTGAAAACAACAATGCCAGGACACAATCAAGAAGATTGATAGTTGTCAATCAGTAAGTTTTCCCTTTTAAACTCCTCACACTAATGAAAGTCGGAAAAGCAAATAAAGAACGTTGTAGTGTCTCTCTTGCAACAGTGACGCATTTGTAGCACTGCTCCTATAGCCCTGTAAGCAATGTTCAGCAGCGACATGAATGAAACACTTGTACGACGGGTACGAGTGGACGTGAGAAAATGGTATGCTCCTTTTGAAAGGGTGACAGTTTGGCTTTCGCCATCTCCCATTGTACCATGTCCCTGCTCGCTCTGCCACGTTTTCCAATCTGTTGGAGAAGTTTTCAGTTTCTGCCATCCTTTTTTTCGCAAGTTTGACATTTTGCAGTCAATTCTAATCGGCTGCGCCAGCAGGTTTTGCGTCTTCCATTCCACTAGCATTTCTATCCATGCAGCAATGTGGTTGCGAGTGTACTGTAAAAGCAGAAATTGTCGGTGGTGTTTTATTTTCGGTAACTTCGGTGCCGACAATTTTTACCGATAATAAAACGCACCGAAAATTTCGGTACAACCGATACTGTATACATGTAGTACTAGTACACTCATCTGGAGAACGGGTTTTACCGAAAATGTCCCTCTACCGAACCGCCGATTTTGGAGAATACCGAAAATATTACACCACCGAAAATTTCTGCTTTTACAGTACGTGTACGTATATAATAAATGTAGAGCCGAAGGATTTATTGCAATTACATACCAGTATAAAAACCGAGGTCCCCCGAGGTTTTTTATAACTGGTATGTAATTGCAATAAATCCTTCGGCTACTACATTTATTATACATATGTTGACCTTCACTTTCCCTAAAAAGGAGTATTTTATAAACAGTATTTATTGGCCTTAGTGGTATTTTATAAACAGTATTTTATTGGCCCTAAAGCCAATAAATACTGTTTATAAAATACCACTAGGCCAATAAATACTGTTTATAAAATACTCCTTTTTAGGGAAAAGTGCAGTGCTGCATGGAAAAGTGCAGTGGTATTTATTGAGTCAAGCAAATTTATTTGAATTTGATACTGTTGATGCTGTGGTCACTAATGAGTGTGGGTATTTATCAAAGGTCAATATATTTACCTATAAACATCAGCACTGGGTCCATACGGCTGCTTTCGGAGCATCTCGGGCGCTTGCCACATCAGCGTTCCTACGTCAGACGACAGTTCGCAGCTGCCTTCTCGTAGTAGTGCCGAGCGTTCATCTTCTCCCATGCTAGCCTTGTGTGGGCAGAGAACAACAGTACAGTAGTACAGTAGTACAGTACTCAGTAGTACTTTGAAGTACCACTACTAGTAAACTGTGTGCTGCTGCTGCTGCTGCTGCTGCTGCTGCATACTGTTATCAGCCTTACACTGTGCGACAACACCAGCACTGCAACAGGTGTTCGTATGTAGAAGACCCGGCATCCTGTATTACGCTCAACCCAGCTTCAGTTGGTAGCATGGACGCGGCGGCGTGAATTTACCTTCATCTTAGCCTGTGCCAATACTGTCGAAAGCAAAATACGCTATTTTCACGCAGACAATTGATCCAATAATTTACATGCGCAAAGGCTTCCAATAGTTTCTTATAAGAAGAAAAGAGGGCCAAAGAGCTACAAGTTACGCTATAATAATCCACTAACACCACCAGTTGCTTTACAATCAGCTCCTGCTCGTGGATATTATAGCGTAACGTGTACAATAGCTCTTTGGTCCTCTTTTCTTCTTGTAAATTAATCCTTGGCTCTCCACCCGAGTCTAATAGCCTTCTTCTTCTTCAGACTTTCCCCGTTTAAAACAGCATTGTTAGACGCATTCTCAGCAACACACCATGCACACAGCGAGAGACCGAGAGAGACAGAAAGACAGACGGACAGAGACAGAAAGAGACAGAAAGAGACACAGAGAGAGAGAGAGAGACCGACAGAGAGACGGAAAGAGACAGACAGAGAGACAGAAAGAGACAGACAGAGAGACGGAAAGAGACAGACAGAGAGACAGAAAGAGATCGACAGAGAGACGGAAAGAGACAGACAGACAGAGAGAGACAGAGAGAGACCGAAAGAGACAGAGAGAGAACACTCACACTGTACCTGTATTTCAACTGACACATCCAGACCAGAGTTAAGGGACGAGCCATACAGTAGGCGTGTGTGCAAGCCAGAGTCACCGTTGCCTACAGGCGATTGTGCCCTCTTGTTTGCACTGGGTTTCTGTGCCTTTCCTTTTCGGTGCAGCTTGAACAGAGGGCAGGCTTCACCAAAGTCAGCCACCTGCAGCCATATCATGCAAAACCGACCACGCCGTGTCATTGTCCATAATAAATATTTTGCCTAACGTTACAGATACAGTGCAGTGGGTGTATTGTATGGGACAGACAGACAGACAGACAGCATAGGCACATGTGTGGATGCGCGCGTGTGAACCAAGGAGAGCAATAAATCATTTGCATGGCATGAGTACCGCACTACTGTGACTGTAGTGTGTGTGTGTGTGTGTGTGTGTGTGTGTGTGTGTGTGTGTGTGTGTGTGTGTGTGTGTGTGTTATCCGGGCGCTGTGCACACCCGCCAACCCTAGCTACCATCAGCTGACTGATATACTCTAATTTCAGAAATTTTTGGTGCTCAGTATTTTCGGTATGAGGGCAAAAGGCCAGGTTAGGTGAACAGAAATTTAGGTGCAGAGATGCAATTCCCTATTGGATTATGTGTGTTAGTGTTTGTTCGGTGTATTGAAATTTTAGGTATGAAACGGATGGACCGAAAATATAAAGTACACCGAAATTTTGTGAAATTACAGTATCCCCACTACAGTTCTACTTACAAGTACTTCAACACTGCCATGACTATGGTATTCTGTACCAGGTGACTTCAATACTGCTATGACTATGGTATTCTGTACTAGGTGACTTCAATACTGCCATGACTAGGTATTCTGTACCAGGTGACTTCAATACTGCCATGACTATGGTATTCTGTACTAGGTGACTTCAAGTTCAACACTGCCATGACTATGGTATTCTGTACCAGGTGACTTCAATACTGCCATGACTATGGTATTCTGTACTAGGTGACTTCAATACTGCCATGACTATGGTATTCTGTACCAGGTGACTTCAATACTGCCATGACTATGGTATTCTGTACCAGGTGACTTCAATACTGCCATGACTATGGTATTCTGTACCAGGTGACTTCAATACTGCCATGACTATGGTATTCTGTACTAGGTGACTTCAAGTTCAACACTGCCATGACTATGGTATTCTGTACCAGGTGACTTCAATACTGCCATGACTATGGTATTCTGTACCAGGTGACTTCAATACTGCCATGACTATGGTATTCTGTACCAGGTGACTTCAATACTGCCATGACTATGGTATTCTGTACCAGGTGACTTCAATACTGCCATGACTATGGTATTCTGTACCAGGTGACTTCAATACTGCCATGACTATGGTATTCTGTACTAGGTGACTTCAATACTGCCATGACTAGGTATTCTGTACCAGGTGACTTCAATACTGCCATGACTATGGCATTCTGCACTAGGTGACTTCAATACTGCCATGACTATGGTATTCTGTACCAGGTGACTTCAATACTGCCATGACTATGGTATTCTGTACCAGGTGACTTCAATACTGCCATGACTATGGTATTCTGTACTAGGTGACTTCAATACTGCCATGACTATGGCATTCTGTACCAGGTGACTTCAATACTGCCAGGACTATGGCATTCTGTAGCAGGTGACAAACCTAGAAAGGCTACACAATACTACAGTCTACTAGGATGCTACTTGCAGTCCAGGAGACCGAGCCACAGTATTACGTAACTACTGGAAACTCCGCTCACCTTGACAACCCAGCGTTCACTGACCAGAAGGTTGGAGCTCTTGAGGTCGCGGTGGATGCACGGCGGGTTGCGGCTGTGCAGGAAGCGCATGCCCTTGGCCGCGTCCAGTGCAAAGCGCAGGCTCTGGCAGGTGTCGATGTGCACCGTGTCATTGCGCAGCAGGGATGCCAGCGTGCCGCGCTGCATGTACTCCATGACTAGGAAGGACACACCGCCTGGACCGATCGTCGACGTCTTGGAGAACTTGCCTCCACCCAGGAACAGAACAATGTTAGGATGACGCAGTCTTCTCATGAACCGAACCTGCATAGTCACGACAAGATCAGATAGACAGATGAGGAGACTGGCTCTATGGTGTAGTGACAGAACCAGTGCTTTGAAGAGACTGGCTCTATTGCCGCCTTGTGTTGCTCTACCCTACTTGTAATTATTGTAGGAACCCATTCAGCACAGAAAATGTACAAAATTAATTCATCACGGAGAATCACATCATGAATTTTTGAAGGTGTACTGCTAACCAAACAATGTCGACCACTTCTTATCTTCTCTATACCAGCTGCAATATAGGCAAGTGAGCAGGGGATGAAGTGATTGTGAATTTCTTGCCATGCAACTTGGTTGATTACCCTCAAAACCTGTGTAAGCTCTTCCCCGATCTGGCTGGGTCAATGACGCAGGGCCAGTCCAGATGTATATTTCTTCAAGTTGGAGACCACAATCATGCTGAACCAACAAATTCCCATATAAGACCAGAGATACAATTTGAATGTGTTCCCAGCCTGGAACCAAAACGTCTCACTCACCTCTTCCTCAAATTCCCGCTCATTGCGGGGACTACTGACGTGTTTGTGTAGGTGCTTGACAGCCACGGGCATTTCTCGATACTCGGCCAGCACAACTGTTCCAAAGCTGCCGGGAGACTCGGCGTCGATGCGCTCCCGCACGGCTAGCTCGCTCTCCTCAATGTACCATGCCTGGGTCAGGCGTGCCAACTCGCAGCGGGATGTGCGCAGTTTCTTGGCGCGGAGCTGCTGAAGTCTCAGCATGCGTCTGACACGCACCATGAACAGAATGCCGGCCACGATCACAATCAGACCGAACAGGGCGAAGAAGATCAGGTAGTAGTACACTGGGTTCTGGCACATGTCGGAGCTGATGTAGCCAAACACGCACTTGCACACCACCTGTCCCTCGGGCAGCGACGCGCTACACGTGCCGTGGCCGTGGCACGCCGGTGCCTTGCACTCCGTGCAGTTGAGCAGGTTGGTAGCCAGAGAGCCAGCGACGGTGGTGGTCAGCGTCGGGCACTCCGTGCAGCGCCTGACGCCCGACGTTGCACTGTATGTCCCCTGCGGACAGGGCGAGCAGGACTGACGGTATAGCGACCAGGAGAAATGGCCCACGTTGCAGCCGGGGCGCATGGCGATCAGTTCTCGCTTGGGCGGGTGCAGCTGGTCATTGTTATAGCCGCCGTACAGTGTTAGAACATTGCCCAACATCACCGTCGTGTGCATTATGCGGAAACCGACGGCGTCCTCCACCGATAACTGCTCCCAGCTAGCAGTCAGTGTGTCAAACATCCATACCGACGTGGGGAAGTCAAGCTGGTACTGCGGCAGGCAGCTCAGGCGATCCAGTGTCAGCTCTTTCGGTTCCCAGATGGCCCTATTGATGTTGCAGCCGCCAGTGATGATCATCTTGTTACCATAGCTTGACGCTGAGTGAAAGTAAGGTGTGCTGAGCCCAGTGGGAACAGTGTCGCTTAGTCTCTCCCACGTTGCATTTGCCGTCAAGTAACGCCAAACACTGGGATCCGCTACACGCTGGCCGAGGTTAACCCCACCAAAGACAACCATATTGTCAGCCACTGGCACGGCCGTGTGACCAAACCTGCGTGATGGCCACAGGTCGGAGCTGTTAGCTAGCGGAGTCCAGCTGGACGATTCAAAGGAGAACTCCCACAAATCTTGCAATGCTTCTCCGGTGATGTTTGATATCCCGCCAAAGACCAGCATGCCTTCCGATGTGGCTATGGCCGTGTGACTGCGTCGGGCGGTGGGGCGCAGGACGGTGGCTGGTTCAAACCGTTGCCAAGTGTGCGTGATGAGTGACCATTGCCACATGTCGTCCAGCAGCTCGACCTCGTGCTCCAGCATGGTCACGCCAGCAAACACATACATGTAGGATCCGTGCTGTACGGCGCTGTGTGCTGCCCTGTGAATCGGCACATCCACGCCGACTGTACCATTGTTCTGCGAGTACTTTGTCCAGTACCCGGCGGTGATGTTCAGCACCCAGACGTTATTCGACTCCAGCGAGAAGCGCGGCCATTCAATGTCAGTTGTTGCACCGCCGTACACCACCATTGTGGAGTTGCTAGTGGACACAGCTGTGTGTGATCGCCGACTGTTCGGCTTGATTTGCGGTGGAGCAAGCTGGAACCAAACGCCTTCCGCCGCTGTCTGATCCAGGTAGAGCGACCAGGGCTGGCTGAGCGATATCTCCTTGTCATTATCCTGATAGCCTGCAAACAAGTACATGCGCTGGCCAATGAGAACACTGTCCATGCCACTCATCGATGGCGGAATGGTCAGAGATGGTTGTGTGTCGAGCAGGGACCAGATGCCGTCACGGCCACTGTTGAAACAGTATATCCAGAGTGCGCGCGTCATTGCCATATCAACACCGCCAAACAGCACAACACAGCTGGCTGCTTCCCAGTACGTAGCTGTCTGCTGGTAATATGGCTGACCAGCCTGCTGGCCCGGGAAGTCAGGCACCAGTTTCTTCCACGCACCGGACAGTGCTACTGTGTACGTATACTCCCAGATATCACTGTAGTAGAAGCCGTTGCCCTCGCCACCAATCACAATCATACTCTGGCGATTATTCGCCCATACTGCAACATGTGAGGCGCGTGCACCAGGCCAGACCTTCCCAGTACTGTTGTCTTGTTCTACTTGCTTCCATGTCGCCGTGTAGTTAGCGTCGTCGGCCCACGCCGTTATTTCCAAAAGCCAGAGATCATTGAGCGCTGTAATGCCAATAATCTGTTCTTCCTCCGCCTGCAGCTGCTGTTTTGTGTTGCCGTCCGTATTGCCGCCGAACACTAGAAAGCGATGGACGGTGTTACCTGCTGCTCTAGACTGAGTGCCTATGAATACACTGGTATGGAGCCATCGCGTCATTGGCCAGTGGTCTTCCCATGGCAACAGTGGCATCCACTCAAGGCGATTGGCCAGGAACAGCCAGAGGTCATTGTAGCCGACCACATTCCGTCCTGCAAACATCACCATCAGTTGAGCCGAGGAGTCCGCCGGCAGGCTACTAGATGTGCCCGTGTGCCCGTAACGGGGTGCTGGCGACAGCAAATTTGCAGCCCAGTCAGCCATAGCCGGCCACTTCCACCAGCTATTACCTGTTAGAAACACACACACACACACACACACACACACACACACACACACACACACACACACCGAGCATCAACATTCACGAGCACGTAAACATACCATACCCACTCATGCACATGTTGACACACAAACACACATACACATACACACGCACACACGCACACACACAAACACGTGAACACTTAAAAGCTCGCGGTGAACTTATAATGAGCAATGACACCGTGATAACCCAACCGGAGAAGGGTCCTGCCCATCATGCATGAACAGAGAAGATAAAATTTCCCGAAAGGCAATCATTCATTTTGTAGAATATGGCCCAAGTCACAACTCCTGGCAATACCATGAAAGTGAAGGAAAAACAGCTGATCAAGTACCCTACAGACTCACTATAAGTGTAGTGGGATTTGGTCACGAAAGGAAAGGATTCCTAGCTCCGGCTGACAAGCACATCCTCAAATAATTGAAAGGAGCTCACAATACGGTCCAAGGGAGACCACCTTGATCGACCCCAGCCCCAGGTAATCGTTTGAGTAGAAGCTGCAGAGCACTTGGATATGCTTGAGCAGGAGGCGTGCAGCTCTCAATCTCTCTACTTGACGCAAGTTGCCATGGACTTGCATGCGATGATTTCATTGTCACGGTGTTGCTTGCGCTGTACACATACATATAGACACGTTCATCTGTGCCCGTACGTTGATGCATGGTCAGCTCTGAGAATGCGGATGCGCCATTGGTGATGGCGACTAGAATACAGCTGACTTCAAGTTGTCTGCCAAACTTGTTGTTGTCACCTCCAAACAATGTGTATGCCAATCAAAATCCAAAGTTCACGCTCCTGGAATGGTCGGAAATGGTGCCGCAGTAGATCAAAATTCTCCCTGGAACTTAGCGAAACTGGCAACTTCAGCCAAGAGCCCTGCACACCAGCCACTGTCCTTGCAGTTCTCCCCGTTTCCGGATCATCAAATGTCCACCAAATGCCGACATTGTCAGCCAGTTGCAGAAGAAGAGTACCGACTTCAGGTCGCGCTGCATGCGCAGACTCCGTTGCAGGTTCCGGGGTATCAACTACTACAAGACTGTCAAGAGCAGCGGGGCCATCCTCGGGTATTACGCTCCCAGGCTTCATCTTGTTGAGCACTCTCAGTAGGCTGCTCTAGTTCTGCTGCATCACGCATTGCCCGCTACTTTTCGTAGTTTGAGCACTCTGGCGCTAGAGCGACGAGCTATCATTTAAAATGTCTGTGGTGCCTCCTTTGCACCATGGCTTGTGGCTCGGCCTATTTAGCTCATAGCTGTACTGATGAGGCCTTTATGGCCGAAACAGCTTGCTGTCTACAGCATTGTGTATTTACTTAGCGACGTCTAACGGGTGTTTCTTTCTTGACCCACCCACCCATCCCCAGAAACGCTCCCCCCCCCCCCCTCCAAAAAGCAGATAATACCACTCATTATATAAATAACATCATACTTAGTATGCACACATACATGTACACTATCAGGAACAGCACAAACATGGCACACACATGTACACGTTATGGTGACGTACTTGTAGGTGTGACACAATGTACATGTAGGACATGACTTAAGGGGCCGTCCGTAAAAATTAATAATATTAGAGAGATGCTGCTACACGGAACTACGTACCAAACTCCGTGTCAACTGCAGTGAAGTTTGACACGGGTTTTCGTACGTTGCACCGGTTCTGCTGTACGTAGCATGCTCGAACTCCCCGCCACACGCTCTGTACGCTCAGTTTTCACACGGAGTCCAGTCCGTGTGAAGCGCGCTTCACACGGAAAGCGGTATGAAAAACCCGTGTGAAACTTTATCCCGTACCGCGGCGAGGTTTCCATACGTACTTTGGCACATTTTACCGTGTAGCAGAACCTCACTAATATCGATATTTTTTTGAAGACGATATTAATTTTGTTTATTTCTCCCCAAACCCCCTCCGCCCTCAAAACGAACAAAATACACATGTTTATGCAAAGGATCGATATTTTTTTTTAATGAATTGCAATTTCCTCATTAAATGTGACCAGCTGCAACTCTAAAATCACCATACACCTAGGTTTACGTTGCCACGGTCGCACAACCTTGCCGTGGCCATGTTCAAGAGTTTGACTTTCACTTTGTTTAGATCATAAACTACATGTCTGCACAATGCCCGTCCATAGATAGAGTTCGGTATTTTTTTCTCAAAGACGATACGAACAGGGCCCAACTGAATGGATGCGGCGAGGAAAATGGTAGATACAATCTTGTACACCGAATGGTATTAGATAAACGTTTGTTTTGTTCAAACATGTTGTTGGTTGACAGCATGTAACAAGGTGGAGTTTCCGAACACGGTGGTCCTCCACCCTGTTACATGCTGTCAACCAACAACATACTGGACATGGTTAGCATGTTACCGTTCACGCTAACTTCGACCGTCGGCCTGGACCGGTTTTTGGTGTGTTTTCAAGACATGGTTAGCATTTCGGTTTTTGACACAACAATACTTGCGACGTAACCCGGGTCGGAATCTTACCGTTCCGTTCTCCCGCTAAACAGAGCGTTCTATCGTCGAAACGATACCAAACCGACGGTATTTTGGGTGTTGGGTGCGAGTACCGTTGAATTTAGCATGAACCGTAAAATGCTAACCATGTCTAATGTACATGTGCACCGAACAGACTCAGTAGTCAGTAGTCTGTATCTGCCAAAATGGAATATCCCTTGTAACAAGGACCATGGCATTGTTCCGCCGGCTGGAGGGTTTATTCCTGAACGCCGTTGTCAAAGCCTTCAGAGGAAGGTGAAGCCTTTGAAGACCAGGAATAAACACCAGAATAATCCCATGGTCTTTGTTGTTGATGCGCGTCTTGCTCTATTCATTGCGATAATTTGTTTCTTATCTCCTCATAACTAACTTATTCCACAAGTTTCTTCTTTCCAATACAACCATGTACATGCGCCCTTATTACCAGCACTGCCCGACACGTAAAAAAGAGCGCAGCAAAGCTTACCCAGAACGTCATAGAGCCACGTCCCTCCCTCCGTATGCTGTGCCGTCCCTCCAAAGAGCAGGACGTGAGGTGATGTGCCGGTGCTGGACGATAGCGACGGCAAGCGGCCGCTGCCAGAAGCAGGTCCCGTTGAAGCAGCGGCAGCTGGAGAAGACCGGCCTCTGCCCAGCGATAACACTGCGGTACTTGTCCATTTCCGACCCGACGGGACGTTGGCAGAGGTGATGTCGAGCGTGGCAAAGCGGTTATGACCTTGAACAAGCTGCTTCCCCTCAGTAGCGGACACGAGGAGAAGAGAGTAAAGTAGCACACGGTCCAGCAACAGAGAAACTGGTCCCAAGCCAGCCATCGCGCCAGGTTTCATAGCCCCATAGGTGATATTTTCATGAGTTCACCCTTCTCGCTTTTGGACTTGGTATGAATGAAGAGCAAGTGGCACCTTCGAACCGCGCTGCTATGTATGCGTTTGCCTCTTGCTTCGGCGATTTGGCAGCGACTACCGCCGTACCGGTAGACTTTTCCCAGCTCTTCGAACACATGCGATGTGTAGCGTGGCCAGACTGCGGACTCGGACACCTCCCGGCGCTGGGCCTGGGAGGAGATGACATGCGAAGCCTTGACTTGCATGCAGCCAGCCTCAGTACTAGTAGATCTATGTAGCCTCCGACTTACTCCGTGCCCCCAGACATCCAATGAATGATCTGGGATCCACTACTGCACTTAGCTTGTGCACTATCACCATGATCACTGCCCCGCGGCGCGCTTTGTTGACAAACAGCAGTCAGCATGCCTTCACACCAAGTCAGTGAAGTCACAGGGTGCATTATGTTCAGACAAAGGCAAGGAGTTATAAAACTACACTGTGTAACTTCCTGGTCTGTACATAGTGCAGCACCGTGTGTACATGCCGGCAATTGCACAGACCAAGCCCAAGGCCAGGGACACTTCAGAAGTTCAGTAGGAATTGACGTGGATCTTGGTCTGGTGAGATTCTCAGAAGGTATTGCAGTGTCACTGTGTATTGGGGAAATAGATCAGAGACGACAGCAGCAACAGCAGCAGCAATGGTAGCAACCACAACCACAGCAGCAGCAGCAGCAGCAACACTGTTACACATAATAGGCATGACAGTCGTGAAGTGTGGTGTAAAGTGTGAACGCAATTGTACCAAGAGTCTACGGATGGACACTTGACTGCACCACACCAAGAGTACAGTTTATGCCAATACCCAAGAGGGGGATATGAACTCTTGGCCACGCTGTAGTTGTAGCAGCTCTTTTCACAGCTAGCCTCAACCCAACAAGGCTACTTCTCTCATATTGTCATTTATGAACAACCAAAATTGGTTGGATCATTCTCATAACACTGCAGAGTCCGAGCTATTACTGGCACCCCAAGTCAGGGAGTTTCAAAAAGAGTGTACACGTACGTGTAGAACAGTATTACCCGGTCATCAAGCCCGGCAATTCATGTGTATTACCCGGTCATCAAGCCCGGCGATTAACACGTCGGCACCACACACTATGGGCACGGGCACTAAACACAACACATGCTTCGAAGTACTCTGAACTTTGAAGTAGAGGTGACTACAGTAGAGAGAGCGAGCAATACCGATGTCTGTAGCAGCGAAACAAACAGCAAAGATGCCCTGTGGCTGGCACTGGCACATGTAAGCACACTTGCAGTGTACAACATGGCCCTGTACTCAGTCATCAGTCTCACAGATGTCATGTAGAGGGAAGGTATCCTCATCCGCACCACCGTATTCAAATAACACAAACAAACGGCTCGGAGAGCAACAGCAGCACTCATACACAGCACAACACCTGCTGATGATACGAGGCAAGCACACCGTCAGCACACCGTCAGCACACAGTCGTTCCGAGTGGCTTGATGTGGGAAAGTGGCACATTTAGAGTACTGAACATGCAACGGCTGCACGTAAACAGCTGTGCAGTGGCCACCGTGGGCCATTCTCCTTTCGTCAGCGGGAATAGCCCAGTCTCAAAAGTACAGTGTACAGTGTACTGTGTTTCCTGGTTATGAATCTGTGCGCACAAGTAGCCTAGTCCATGTGGACACTCTAGCACGCTACGGTGCTGCGCCGCACATGACGAGCAGATACAGCCAACATGCTCGTAGCAATTTCCGACAGTTCGCGGACTGACAATGCGGAGCAGCAACGGTAGAGCACCAACACAATGTTGCACACTCGCCTCACTGATGCCTTGTGCCAGTCAACAGACAGTTCGAGGAGGACAAGCCACTGCAGCAGCCATGCAGCAACACCTTACTGATGCCTTGTACGTGGGTCCACAGACAGTTCGAGGAGGACAAGGCAATGCAGCAACAGATGCCACACACATCACCACAGCAAGCCTCACGTTGCATCCGTATTCGTGTCATCCTTGTTCTTGCCGACCCCATCAACAGCCTTCATCAGTTCTCCCATGAGCTTGTCGGCAGACTTGCCAAACTTGTTGGGCGTCACCTCTTGAACAGCACACAGTGGGTGTGTTTGAATGTAGCTCAGTACAGATTTCATTGCAGGCGTGTAGTGATTTATACCCGGCTGCGGGCACGCCATCGTGCCGATCAAGTGCAGCTTTCCGGGATCATCTATAGCCTGCTTGAGCACCTGCAGGAACTCACTACTGCACGCCGTGATCGGGTTGATGCCGTTCATCAGAAACACGCCGTGCGTGTCCCGTGAGGCTTCCAGTGATGCACGCAGCAACGGCACAACGACCTCGTCAAACCTTTCCGGACTGATCATGTAGTTACCTACGTACAGTCGGGGACCAGCCACAGGTCTACATGGTGACTTTTGCGATGTTAGTTCAGCAATGGGAAAGACCAATCCTTCACCGATAGTCTTGATATCCCGACCAACAATGGTCACAACACCCTTCCTATTCACGGTTTCTCGTGTCTCGGTGTAAAATCCCTCCAGTGGCAAGCCACGATTCTCGGGCTGCGACTCGTACTGCAGGTAATCAAGTAGGCGATCGAATACCCGTCCAATGTACGACGCGGCACCCTCCTTGCCTGTTATGAAGTAGTGGGTTTTCCTCAGAGCTACTCTGGCACCAGGCATTTCCGAGGCTCTACCACCATGGAGTGTAACACTTGACTGAAAACAGAACGCTGCCTGCCAGCTATCAAAAAAGGAAACGAAATAAGCCTGAGCTGTCCTGCCAACACCTCCTTTCCTTATCTGTCTGCACTACTACGCCACCAGTATTTCAAAATCAAATGCAAGCACAAGAAGTATCAGCAAAACAAAAACACACCCACAAACTGCTTCTTCAAAAAACTGAACTGCTCTGAAATCTTGTCGATGAAGCAATCTGCATCTGAGTTGCTAGTGATTACGTCATGATATCAACGACTTGACAGAAACACAGAAGAGAAAAAATAAAAATTAATTTCGGAAATAATTGTCTCTTCAATTATTTTATTATCATACCGGTATTCGCGTCTTTGGGTTGTTTGTTCCTCGTATCAAGCTAGCTGCAAGCTGCGCAAGGGCTCCCACATTACACCACGATTTAGAATTCCTGACCTGAAGCGGCCGTATCTGACACCTTCTTCAGTACTAGAATAGCTTTCATGATTGAAGCTTCAAGATCCTGGCAAACTTATCAGTTACGAAGGATTTGAAAACACAATAGGCAAAAAGTATAATGCAGCTAGCTGAAGTCGTAACGAAGTTGAATCGCCTCGCACCATTGCGTCTGGCAGCGGCTTGGGATAATGTAGGCTTGCTCCTGGAACCCTCAAGTCCCCAGCCTCCTATCCAGCGAATGTTGCTCACCAATGACTTCACCAGTGCAGTATGGAAAGAAGCAGAAAGCAAGAACGTCAATCTCATCTACTGCTACCACCCTGTTATCTTTGCTCCCCTGAAAAGATTGACATGTGCCACAGAGAAGCAAGGTCTCCTAGTGCGTGCTGTGGAGAAGCGTGTAGCTATCTATTGCCCTCACACTGCCATGGATGCTGTGGAGGATGGCGTCAACGATTGGCTGGTTGGGGGGTTGGGAGACGGCATGACCATGGCATTGGAGACACTGGTACGTATGAGGATACCAGGACTGAGTGTGTATATGTATACAGCTACTCAATTTCCGGATAGTTCGCTGTTTCGACCGTGTTAGGTCTCATCAGCTGAGCTTAGAGTGACTGTCCGAACCGACCGCAGTGAAGTCTGTTGAACAACACAGTCATGTACATATACGACTACCGGTAAATGTTTCAAAAAAGTGTGGAGTTCATTTCGAACTACTTATTGCTGAACCCCTTGGCTTACAAACTTTACCCGCTCCGCCACCAGGATGCGAGAACTCGTATGTATATGTACATGTACTTCTGTACAGCTGCTGTATTTCCAGGGACATGGTGTGCACCCCAATATGGATTAGTTATGCCATAGTAGTGCATGTTCACGTATGTTTACCGGTGATATGATTGTGTGCGTGCGTGCGTGCATTCGTGTGTGCTGTCCTGCATTCTCCCCTTGCTGTAGAACGGCAACCCAAGGGAGGGATACGGTCGTAAAATGCTGCTCAATGAGCCCGTTGCTACCCTGGACGAGATGATAGCTCGTGTCAAGTCGCACCTTGGCCTCAAGCACGTGCAGGTGGCTCGCTGCAGCAAGACGGACCCCATCCGCATCGTGGCGGTCTGCGCAGGGTCCGGGGGCAAGGTGCTCGAATCGGCCAAGGCGGATGTTCTAGTGACCGGTGAGATGTCGCATCACGAGATCTTGGCCGCCGTGGAGCGAGGTTCACATGTGATCACCTGCGGGCACAGCAACACAGAACGGGGCTTCCTGCACACGCTCAAGCCACGCTTGGAGGCGCTGTTCGAGAAGGCTATTGAAGTGGAAGTGAGTGAGGTGGACGCCGATCCACTGGTAACAGAGTAGTGTGTGCGTGTGTGTGCGTATGACCAATATCACTTCATGAAGTGCTTGCTGATTTCCTCTTTGCAGTACACTCCACTGCAGTGCAGGCACTACGTGTGGCGCAGCTTTCCTTCCAAATCTTGACGCAAGCTAGTGTCTGAAATTAGGGCCATTGCCGAAGCAGTTGAGACCTGCTATCAACACTCTGCAGATTGGCATATCGACCACCAATAGCTCATCATGCCGCAGGTTGAACAGGAGCCAAGTGCCTGTTTTGTCGACGATGATCATGCCTGCTGCACGGATAACCAAGCTGCTGCTGGGTTGGTGAAGCATGCTTCCGTGTGGCCATAGCCAGGCCAGGTACTGGTATATGTATCAGGCCTGCGACCAGATGATGTGACACAGGCTTCATAGGAGTGCTGCAGCATCAGCAGCAGGAGCAACGTCTTGAGCTGTCCACCGATACTTGAGACGCTTGCTTTCTAGGTCTTCTCTATTTTATTTTAATATTCTTCTATATTTTCTTTTTGAATGGTAGAGGTGTGCATGCGGCTGTATTGAAAGCTGCTGTCACTTCTGTGCCATCGGAACACTGGCAGTCTGGCTTGTCTGAGCTCTACGAGCTATTGAACTAACAATGTTTCATGCCCCCAGCAATGGTGCATAGCAATCATGTCGTGTATTGTGTAATCACTCTCCCCAGGAATTGGTAAAAAGTGCTAAAAACCCGTGGGTTCTCATCTGACATCCAGCTGTGCATTGTGTCACAACACTTTGCACATTCCCCCGCTCGGAGCAAGCTCCACACGCACACAAACACACTAGAAGTTATTGCATTGCAGCGGTATATTTTAGGCCACGACCGGTTTTGACTGGGAGTACATCTATACTGACCTAGTAGGCATACGGTTATGAAACACAGTAAAATAATTATTGCTAACATCAGAAAAGAGAGCAAGGGCTAGCCTCCACAGGCATGTCAGATGCACATGCAACACGTGAAGCATACAGCAGCAGCACCAGCAGCAAGGGAACAAATGCACTAAACAAGCACAGCAAAATCTATAAACGACACAAAGGCACACGTTAAAAAGGTCTCTAAAGAAACAATCGAATAAAACCAAAAATGAATTGATCACCTAAAACGTGACTGAGCGTACGCCCGCTGAGCACGTAATCCCTAGAGCGAAGACTGTGACAGGTTGCAGTGTGTGTGCGCGTCTACTACGTTCCTATAGCTAAACCACTAGGTGTTGATATGACTTTTAGATGTATTTCGCATGAAGATGTGACATTATGTGAGCATGAGTGATAGGGCTGCAGATGAAAAGAAAGCGCATCCTTTACCCTAGTTAAAACTACCACAGTAGAGTGAACCATGTTTTCAGACAGACATACGTATCTACGTACACTACACACATGACATACGTATCTACGTACACTACACACATGACGCGAGAGTGCACCGGTTTCGGAGACACTGCCCTGGCGTGTGCAGGTGCTCGCAAACACCGGCATGCATCCACAAACGCGTACACACACACACACACACACACACACACACACAAATAGGCGGGCGGCATACATTCACAGTTCAGAAACACAGGCAACCAGCCACGACGGGTCACACGGCACACTGACCAACACATCGGTTGGAGATGTCGGTTGTCCGTAACACAGTCAGTTGGCAGGTCAGTCTGGATGCTGCTGTTCCAACAGAACACTAGGAACGAGATATGCACGCTAATAGCTTGGTTGGCCGATCAGTCGAAGAGAGAGACAGTCAACAGTGAAAAGGGGGCTACTAGCCGCCCAGCTAAACGGCCACGTCCTTGGCACCTGCGCTGGTGGCTGAACGCTCCTCAAACTCGCGCAGCGCTTGCTTGGCGAGGTACTTCTCACGCTCAATGCGGTTGTGCAGTGTGAGCGGAACGTCCGGCACGAGCCACGCAATTAGCGCCTTAACGCCAAACACAACGTGCTCAAACACAATCATGAAAGCCAAACGGGCGGCAAGAACATGCCAGAAGAAGCGCTTAAACTCGCTGACATTGCCATCCGCGCTGGTCTCTCGGAATCCGCGGAAAGAGCAGTTCTGGAACATCTGAGCAGTCTGGCCGGCAGTCATGTGGAAATTCTGGCCAAGTTCCTGTGGGCAAAAGACGCCAAGGAAAAACAGGGCAACAATGACGACAACGGAAACAAAAAATAATTATATCATTTTAAAATTCACTATGCTTAAGATCAAGATGTGGCACGGTGTCAGAATGTTGGTGTGCCGGAACTTGTCTAAACTAAATAGTGTACTTAGACATGAAAGAAGAACATTGCACGTTGTCGAAAGTACACAACAAAACAGTGCAAAGCTATGGTGTTGTAATTCGAAGGTTCATGACATCAGACAATTGGGTTATCTGATGATTTCGCTATGTACATGAAACTCCGGGTCACAGCACCATAGCCTTGGTGCATTATGTACTACAATCACTCTGCACCCATGACATTTGAGCACTTTCAGTACACTGACTGCACCCAGTCGTGTTACAGAAAGTTTTAAAAAATAAAAGACAATAATACTATTTTTAAACAAACGACGAGGAGACAATAATTCGATAACCGCAGTCAATACTATTCATTGCTACCAGGTCTGGCCTCATTTCTGTGCGCCGAGTGCACAACGGAAAAACAACAAGTTCACAAAGCAGTGCAAGTCAAATTTCACTCCGCCCCTTGCAGTAGTAGTGATGGATCACTTTCACTGTTTGCACTGTGTGTAGCTCGCCGACTACAGTGGAGCTCGGATAAGACGTAGCCCCTCGGGGAGCAGGAAAAAGGTATGCAGTGTCCGAGGTGCTTCTTATCCAAAAGTTGACTCCTGCGGCTTCACTAATACAATACATGTGCAGTACTAGTATGTTAAAATACTCGAATTTCTTTATCGCACTCAGAAATCTATTTGTGTTCTGTTTAGTGCCACCAAACCAGGCTTCCCACACTGCAAACAGCCTCCTCTGCACTGTCAACGTACTGAAGTACCTGTCAAGCAAACCTGTCATGTGTGAAGGTGCATGAAAGCACCAAAATGTACGTGGTATGCGAGGCTAGCTCTGTTGGGACCTGCTGAAAAGTCCGTCCTACACGATGTCATCAGAGTATGTCGTATCCGCACACATTAAATTTTGGTTATGCGTTTATGGGAGGAAAATAGAAAATCCGTGCGATGAGCAAGGAGGGTACTAAGCAGGTGTACGTCTTACCCGGGTAACTACTAACTGAGTTCTGCCGTATTTTTAAAGCACTACGGCAAGGTACTGTAAAAGCCATTATTCTAAAGAGGCACATATAATTATAACGATTTCCCAAAATTGACTGGTTTACGTGTACCAAAGGTAACGATTCTTACTTATTCTCAACGCTCAATAGGACGGTGTATGTATCGATTTCTGTAATATATGGCTTTTACAGTACGCCCTGGCCAAGTTTAAACTCTGGCTTTGAGAAGTTATATGTTCCATTGCTACTACTACTATACTTGGGTTTGGCTTCAATTCAATGTGCTCAGCTGAGGAAGGAGTCCAGGAAAAATGAAACGACTCTAATGAGAAGAAAAATATGTTAGCACACTGTCACACTGATATACAGGTGGACTAACCGTGAAGAAGTCACTCTCGGATGCGTTGTTGGTCTTTTCAAAGATGGTCAACGGCGCTTGGGACAGCGAGAAGAAGACATAGCCCTCCAGAGTCTTCTGGTCGCCAAACATGGGCTTATCCTCCACGCCGAACATGTACGCCGTACGTGGTATGATGTCGGATGTGATGGCGATCACGACAGCATTGGTGATGACGCTCAGGTTTCCAACTCCGTCCAGAATCGAGTACCTGCGAACACAACAGGCAAACGGTTCGTTGACACGGTGAGCAGTACATTTTGCCAACTCATTGAAACATAGTAAATGCCTGGAGAGTGGGTGGGGGCAGCAGTTTACTCTTTCTCAAAGAACACTGTTGTTCCAAGTCACAGCTACAATATTGCCTGTGAGCCCAGAGGTGTGCGCGTTGCACGTCTATTCCCACATGATATCTACAAGAATCCCACACAAGTGGAAATCATCAGGAGAAAAATGCTTTAGCCAAAGAGTAAACTCAGTGGTGTGTGTGTGTTGGGGGGGGGGGGGGGGGGGGGACGACGATGAAAAACAGAGTACACCGTGGACTATATACGTATGCTACCAGGGACTGTGAATCCCCCTGGCACACCTTCGTGGGAAAGTAGTGCATGTATGACCAGCGCAAGGTTGTAATGCTAGGCGCAGTGTTGCGCAGTTAGGCCCTCTTCAGACTAGGTACAAAACAGCCTATAAGTCACATTTACATAGAAGTTTCCAGGACAACAACAAGAATCTGGCGGGAAGCCTAAAAAGCTGCCCAATCCTTTCAGGCAGGGTGCCAACCCTTGTACAAGGCAACTTTCCTGCATTTATCGTACTTTCACCAGGCAGTTGTACGAACTTTGTACCCGGGTACGACTGTCCGCTGCTTTCACACATCCCAGGCCCCTTGCGCAATTTCGTAGGGTCAAAGGTTGCCTGTATATTGCATGTAAAATGTGTAGTCTGAAAGCAGGCATGGAAAAATGTTGCCTTTTAGGTTTTATGTGATTTTGTACTGGATTTTCTATGTACGTAGTCTGATGAGGGCCTTAGGCGTGATTTGACAGCGTGTAGCTGCATGCTAAAGTAGGTCGTATCCAGGGCATATTGCACTGAATTCACTGTACCTGGAGGCGATACGGGGTTACCGTGTTTCCTGAAATTCGCCATGCACCTAAAATTAGTCATGGGATTGACAGATGGTTGCGATGTTCAACCATCGTCCCAAAAAACCTCCCCGTATCATATACCGGTATAGCTACTTACCAGATTCCGATATCCTCAGCACGGCGGGCCAGAGGTCGTCGCAACTGAGTAGCAAACTTGTTGGAGTCGACGCGGATCTCCAGGATGTTGTTCATCAGGGCGAAGAGCGGTGCCAGTGGGAAGGCGGCCACGAACAGCGTGACGAAACCAAACTGAATGACCATCTCCAGGTACTCGTAGAACAGTCCATGTTCAGGCAGGTCAGCCAGATCATAGTCCTCTTCCCAGCGCGTCAGTTTGCGGTCTTCTTGCTTGGCTTCGACGTTGTCACGACGCCGCATCCAGACCTTCAGACGGGGAATAAAGATCTCAATGGTGTTGTTCAGTACCTGCTTACCCACCATGATGATGGCCAGCTGCTGGGTCAGCTCAATCAGACAACCACTGGCACTGCACTCGTCCAGACGGAACGCTAACGTCACAACGCAAATATATGCACGCACGGACGCACAGACGCACGAACACACACACACAGAAGTTAGTGACACCTACCGGCGACAGATTCTCATCAGGAATACAATAGAGACAGCTTAGCAAGTATATCCAGCTACTCCCCAAACCCCAAACTTGCTTCTGCCACACGCCAGGCTTTCCTGATCAGAACTGTAACACACAAATTTTCCCTAGAATACCAATCTCCAGGCAGCTAGCTGACTAGACCTTGTTAGGTCTCATCAGCGGAGCCCAGAGTAACTGTCCGAACCGATCATAGTGAAGTCCAGTGGACAAGGTTGTCCATTCGGTAAAATTGCAAACTCTATGCGTGACAGTTAGCATTGTTTATGAGATATTTTTAAAAGATGATAACGCAACGAGTAGAGTGAGTTGCACACTCAGTACAAACACCACATGCAACAACTACATGTCATGAGATGGCCTCGAAACGGTTCAAGGAATATACAGGACACGTAGTTTTTTGCTTATGGTGTGTTTGTACTGAGTGCGCAACTCACTCTACTCATTGCGTTAATACGAGCATACCAGTAGTGATAAGTAACTGATAACTGTCTATAGTGATCAAATCATAAATGTTCCACACCAACGTTCTACTGGATTTCTACCCGTACTCACAAGCAATGCGGTTATAGTTGCCTGGGTGACCCACAAAGCGACCCTTGAAGAAGGCGATGTAGAAGATGGAACCGTAGTAATTAGCAAACTGCACAGCAGAGAACACGCACACAAGAACACCGGACGATGACATCATTAAGCCTACTTCACACTCGACGCAACGCTGACGGTACGGGACGTAAGGGCTTGTCGGGAGGGCTGGGGGGGGGGGGGGGGGGAGCTGTAAAGTCCTGTACGATTCGTACGACACGATATGCGGCAGTCATTGCGATGTTCAACGTCGAACGGTGCGAGTCATAGGGCACGGTCCGTGACGGGGTGACTTTCGGACCTAATTTCTCGTTTTTCCGGACTTCTTTTCAATTATTTCTCCTTGAAAGAAGCGGAATCAAGTTCACAATACCAGTTTCTAATGAAGACCACAAAATTAGCCCTGAAAGTTGTGGCATTCAAATAATGGCCCCAGGAAATGATAAAATAGTTCGTCTGTCACGCTGCTGAACTAACCCTAAATACAATAAGTGACATGAGATCTTATGTTGCTAAAATTCAACTCAAGTCGTGCTAGCCATTCTGTGAGTTATCATGGGAAGCGCAGTGTTCGAAATGCTAAATATTTCCAAGTACGAATCGGGAGTAGTCGGCGCACGACGCCGTCTCCTGTTCACACTCGAATTGCAGTCGTTGTGTACGCTTGCGTCCCCGTCTACGGTACGAAAAGTTGAATCGATCGAACTCTTCCCGATCCGTACGGTAGTACGGTTGCGTTACTGGTCCTGGTGTTCACATTGGACGCCGTCAGACTGTCCCGTCGCTTCCCGTCGATCCTTACGTCGCGTCCCGTCGCGCCCCGTCGAAGGTGAACTAGGCTTTACATACATGCACGTACACATCAGGTTGACAACACCTGGTGGATTGGCCTGGCTCATTCGTCGGCAATGTAGGCCACAGTGGAATGGCCCACAGCGCAGTAGCAGCCACTGTACTGGAAAGGGGATATAACCTTGCCATTCAGCTTAATCCCTTTGCCAGAGTCAATCTTAAAATGCATGATCAAAGCCTGCACTGGATGACTCCAAGGAAAAACCATCTGCATCCCACACAGGACCGTTTATCCAGGCAGGGGACTGGTCAGACGGGGCAGTATCCAGGCACGGAACTGCCCAGATGGGGAGCGGTCGGGCGGGGCAGTAACCAGACAGGGAATTGCCCAAGTGGGAATGAGAACAAAATACAGGCAATGTAATGAAGATTCACAAGCCACAGGACTCTAGCAGTACAACTGTAACACAGGTACACTCAAACGTCTCTTTTCCGGACGCCTCAGATACGGGCACATCTCTCTACCGGGCACCTTCAGCTTGGGTTCCTATGGCAAAATGCTTCGAATTTGGGGGTTTGAATTTTTTCGTATGCAAAAGTGCTTATTTTGTCACTATCAACCTGTGTAATCCACACATAGTTATCGATCGATCATTTTGGTATCCTTAACATGTGCAATGGTTGCCAAATAAACTTCTTCAACGAATGATATGATACATAGTAGATGAGTTATCCTGAGATACGGGAAAATGTGAGATACGGGCAGTGCCCGGTCCCAAGGCGCCCGGATAAGAGACGTCCGAGTGTAGTTGCTAACAGTCGAGCACTGGTGCCATCTCTCACCTGGAACAGGAACATCTTGAAGGTGAACGAGTCGTCGTGCTCTGTCTGCGTGCGGTGCAATTCCCATGCAGTGAGCTTGATGGCCAGGATCTCATACACCTGAACACACGCACGCACACAAACACACGCACGCACACAAACACACACACACAATGATATAACCAGACATGGAACACAGGTGCATGCATTGAGCAAGAGGGAAATGAAAATGATTGCGAAAGGTAGTTCGCGACACTATCGCAATTTTCGAATCTTTTTTTGAAAGTCCAAGTTTTTTGTACTTTCGACAAGGGTGTTGATGACTTGTCAGATTCGCGGAGCTGACGGAAGTGCAACAAATTTCTTTAAAAATCCAAAAACAAGCTGAGGAAGCGGCGTTTGCGAAACAAAAGCACAACCAGCAGGCTTCTTCTGATTTGCGGGAAGGCGTACAGCATACAGTTCAGCCTGTACGCTGACAACAACCGAGATGGACACGGAGGAGATTCCTGCAGCGCAGAACCGCTGATATCCGAGCGAGTGAGCAGCCACCCAGGAAGATCGCTCGTCTTCTTGGATCTGGAAGCTAGTGACCGGAGTCAAACGTCACAGCTCACCCAGTTTGCAGCAAACACTGCGAGCACTAACACCATGCTTTCCCGCTATCTGCTGCCAAACACACCCATCCAAAGTGGCGCAGTAGAACCAGCAGCAGCTGGCTTGACCGTTGGCTCCAGTGGTGGTGCGTGTGTTCTCTTGAAAGGTGGCAAGCCAGCCATGTCAGCCAGCCAGGAGGAAGGTTGGAAGGCATTTCTGGAGTGGCTCTGGAGGTTGGCAGTGCATGTCGTGCTGGTGCCCCACATGGTTCTTCATGCCAATTTGTAAAGTAGTCCATAGACCTTTCAACGAATGGCACGCGATTTTCACTGGACATGAGCGAGCCACGTAAAAAAGGGCAAGGGTGAATTTTCGGCTTTATTCTATCTGACCTGCCAATGAATTGAACTACATGTATTTACATTTACCTGTCACCATTCTGTTTAACACATGGTATCCTGGGTGCGTGCGTGCATGCATTGCCGATGAAGCAGATAGAGCAAGCACAATCCTGGACCAAGAACACAATAACAACTCTCATCCTCTAACACACACACACTGAACACGGCACAGTGCACACCACACCTACCTTATTGAGGACGAGAATAGCCAACAGCTGCAGCACAGCAGCGGTGATGGTGGTGATGAACGAGGCGGCGGAGCGCAGCGAGTTGTTCTCATTGAGCACGGTCAGGATAGCCACGCGATAGATAATGACGCTGACCAGAACAGCAACGACCAGGGCTATCATGAAGACCATAGTGCTGAAGGCACACATGATCTTGGCCACATAGCGAGAACGAGGCTGAAAGGCCTCTTCCCTGCCAGTGATGGGATTCTCACGTAGAGTCTTGATCTACACAACAGCAACAGCAACAACAACGCTTGTGATTCGTGATCGGGGTGAACGTTACCCCATGGGCACTGAAAGAGAGTCGTACACAAACACAAGCACACACACACACACCCGCACACACACACACACACACACACCCGCACACACACACAGAACGTCAAAGAGAGAAGAGGCAGCAGCTACCTTGGCTTCAAACAGAGCTCTGGGCTTCTCTTCTTCCTCCTCATAGTCCATCACGTCCCAGTCATACGCCAGCTCCGCCTGCTTACGCTTCCAGAACTCCAAGAAGAACGTGGCCCAGAATGCCATGACAACGGCGAAGAAGACGGTGGCACCATTGTCAAAGAGGAAGGATACGCGAGCGGCCGTGCAGGTGGAATCCAGTGACCAGTAGTCGCAGCTGCCGTCACACAGCGGGCACATGATGTACGGGCCGTATTCCATCACGCTGTTCCGTGGGATCGTCTGGGCAACAATCACACAACACACAACAAGAGAGAAACAGGTGTAAAGCCTGATGCGTAGGCCGACTAGTTCACGGCATACTATACCCAGGAGCAGCTGCCTTTCTCGTCAAACAGTACAACAATACTGTGGGCTGACACAAGGAAAGCAAACTGTACATAGCCAGCTGGGAACCACTTTGAATGCCACCTGGATTACTTTGCAACATCCACACAAACTATATATTTTTTTGCTGTTAAACACGAGCGCCCTGGGAGTACATGATATCTAATCGCAGGGAGACAGAAGTCCGTCCAGCCCAGCCAATTTGACAGCTTATCAGGGGGTAGTGCTGGCTACCACCTCCCTTCACCGCCTCTTATCTAAATCAAGACTGGGTTCTTGTGCATTTGAGTAGTTGCTGGGCATAGGTGTCACACTCACTTGGACGCGTAGAACACATCACAAATGCTTGTCCAGGTGACACGGAGCAAAAATTCAAAAACAACTCATGATCAACCATGAACCCGCACGCTTGCCGAATCTCATGGAAGCCCCTACAAAGCCAGCTGGAATAAATACCTGGTGGTAATGGCATGAAACGTTAAGACAGGTGAGCAAGCAACAGTCTTACAGAACAACCGTCAAAAGCCACATCCCTCGCTTCTAGCCAAGCAGAACACAAGCGAACATCCCGAGGTGCCCATTGCTATCGGAGACAACCATTTGATGTCCAGAAAATACCACGCAAGGGCAACTCTGCACAAATGCCCGATGTGCCTGTTTCGCATTGATATTTGGTCAGAAATAGTTTCACTTCACACGGATAACTCTGAACACTCACTAATCTAATCGTGTTCAAGTCTTTATTCTCACGGTGGCCAGTAGGCCAAGAGAGATGATTGTTGTTGTTGTTGGTGTTGTTGTTGTTGTTGTTGTTGTTGTTGTTGTTGGTGGTGTTGTTGTTGTTGTTGTTGGTGGTGGTGGTGGTGTTTAGTAACTGTTTACCTGGAGAGCACACGTCTCTGCAGCCACAGCATTATCCGGGGAGTGGCTGAGGGCCAGACCAACGAGGAAACAAATGACTCCAACTAAGGACACTGGTATCAGCATGTACGTATAGTAACCCAGCCAGGCAAAGTACATGCTGATCTGCTCGCCAAAGTACAAGCGCACGTGATCGAGCGGCTGCAGTTTATACCAACACGAGAAGCAGCCCCAGACGCTGTAGAGCACCTTGCGAGTGTTACATACGGCGTCCGACTCAAGGTTACCCTCGTGCAGCGGATAAGCAGCGACAAACGACTTGTTCCCTAGCAGGCGATCGATGCCGATTTTGGTGGGATTAGCATCACCATAAGCAGTGCGTGTCATGATGTAATGGCAAATACAGGATCGCTGGGCGTTGGTCAGAAACTTATCAGGCTTGTCATGATTCAGAAATTTCTCCAGCCTGGCCCGCACAAATTTCGCCGAGTAGCAGTCAGCCATTGGTTCGATGCCATGCTGAAAGAAGTGACAGCAGCGTGCCATGCCTCTCGCTCTCGCACCCAGCACTGTGACACGCGTATCCTCCTCAGCAATGGGCAGCCGCATGTCCATTTCCTCTGCCCAGTGCAAGCAAACGTCGAACGGGACATGCAGTTTGATAAAGCGTGCACCATGATGAGCATTGTCGGCCTCCTCCACTTCTATACCACGTGCTCGCAGACCATTGAGGAATGCCTGACGTTTTGCAGCCCTGGGTTGTGTCCAGTCCTTGTCAGCTACATCGGACGACACAACTTCGTATGCCAGCAAATAGTCAATCTTTCGAATGCCATCATTGAACTTGAGACCAACGGAGTCGCTGTGGCATACCCGGGTCTTGGTCAACAGTGATGGATCTTTGACGAGATCACAGAGCCGCTCTAGAGGACTACTGTGATCACGAACGACACCCGTAGCACACTGAAGACTCTCTGAACCCTGCTGCACAGTCTCATCTTCAATAGCCTCAATCTCCGCCATGCTACATAGCTCACTACAATATCTCAACCACAGCAAACAACAGTGGCAGATGGCTGCAACTAGCAGAGGCTGAAGGCAACGTGAACAAACAAACCTGAAGCAGACCCACCCAGAACACTGGACAAACACACGCAGACTTTATTCTAGCCAGCCATTACGGACACACACACACACGAGCACGAGCACAAGCACAGCACGATACCGACGGTGGAGACTTGAGAGCAGTGGAGGACACGTTACCAACACTAGCAATGTGACAGCTAGGACTACTATGTAGCACACGGTGGATCACCACAGTAAGAATTACAATGCAATACCGGAACAAAACCAATTGCCAGCCTGCAACAGATCACCAGTGGCCAGTCCTACCAACACTTAGTTGGTGGTAACGTGCAACATTAGCATGTAAACTGCAGCAAAGTGAGTTAGTGTGACGGCAGTGCCATCCAATCGCAGTAAAATCAGACAATCAGCGTGCACATACACACTTCACCGGACCCCGTGGCAGAACCACCTCAACACCTGCCATGTCAGAGTACGTTTGACATATACTGTAAAAGCCATTATTCTAACGAGGCGCATATATAACAATTTCCGAAAATTGACTAGTTTACGTGTACCAAAGGTAACGATTCTCACTCATTCTCAACGCTCAATAGGACAGTATATGTATCGATTTTAACGACAGGTTTCTCCTCGTTAACTCGTTAGAGTTAGCACTTCGTTATATATATGGCTTTTACAATAGCTGAGGACTAACAGCGGTCAAGACCAAGCGAGATGAAACAGCTCGCATCATACGAGCTTTCACACATAATATCTACAAGCCGCTAATGAAGAAAGCGGCAATGGCGACACTTATATTAGTGTGTGGTCGGCTAGTTGCCAAAGGGGTGTGTGTGTGGGATGTCGAGGCAGTGTCTGTGGCCCGCAGGATGAGGTACTAGTACGTGTACACTACATGCATAATGGTCCAGTCTCTCTATCTCTCTCTCTCTCTCTCTCTCTCTCTCTCTCTCTCTCTCTCTCTCTCTCTCTCTCTCTCTCTCTCTCTCTCTCTCGCTCTCGCTCTCTCTCTCTCTCTCTCTCTCTCTCTCTCTCTCTCTCTCTCTCCACGTGGGTGGGTATGTGCGCGCGCAGCACACACACACACACACACACACACACACACACACACACACACACACACACACACACACACACACACACACACACACACACACACAGGTGTTTCTCTGTGTGTCGATCACCCCTTCTCCCCCATTCTACATGTACTTCAATCATTGATAATAGCCGCGTTTACACACCGTATTATCTCTAATATAAGCACGGTCCTTTATTTTTTCAATGTACCTCCGCCCCGTGCTATTAATGGAGACGTTCCTTTATTGGAGACTGTTCCATTATTATTTCAACCTCATTTCAGAGGCATTTTGCCATGCCATATTCATGTCACACTGAATTTCTTTATTTAGTGCTCTACTACGCGAAATGTGCTATTATTATTATTATTATTATTATTATTATTATTATTATATTCATGTCAGACACACACATTTCAGGGGTTTTTTCGCCGGTACAGATAATGAATTTACACAGTGTGCTTATAATGGAGACTGAGCACTTTATTTTTTGAATGCCGCCCCAAGGTGTTCTATTATTGGAGACGTGCTATTATTGGAGACTGTGCTTACATATGCATGTGACGTCATGTGACTGTGGTGAACATCATCCACTTACACAATGTCATACTTTCACTACAGTCAGACCTCGCTTAACCGCACACATCTGTTTTCCACAAAAATATCCGGACAGACGAGGTAACCGGATAACTGAACACACATACTGTACATGTATATGCATGTGGCATGTCAAAAGCAGTGACAGTGACATCGAACATACATGTAGACAGGTCCTATGCAGTACAACTAGCGTGCCCAGTATGTAAAACAAGTGAGGAAAATGACAAGTGCATGCAACTGAGTGCTGTCCGCATACACCCAGCAGGTCAAGGACCTCATTTGCTTGTACAACTCCCTGACACTAGCTTCTGCAAGCGCTAGCCAGCCACATGCAACCGGATACGACGAAGCTTTTTGCATACATTTTAACAAGTTTGTACACGAAATCATGCACCGGTATGCGGATCGTGAGGTCCGGTTATGTTGTATGCATGACATATGCTGCACATCGGTAACCAGCGATTTTCTTCCGGATGGCGAGGGATCCGGATAAACGAGGACCGGATAAACGAGGTCTGACTGTACTTGCAGTGCCAGTTTTAAAATATTTACACCGTATTTCTGAGAACACAATAACCATGGTAACAGGGCGATGTGTGCAGGAACTCAAAACAAAATGATAGCTTGCTTGGTAGTCCACCCACACAACAGGACTAGAACAGCAACCAAATCCTAGTAATACCAGCAGTCCTTCCAAGACGTCAGTACACCATGTATTGGCACTGTCGTCAAAGAATTTGAATGTTGTGGTGAGGGTTTCCGTCGAACTTTCGGATTACATGTGCGTTGTGACAGTGACAGTGACACTGAACAGTGAATAGAGGAGCTGTACAGGCAGAGTGGGTGTGCTATGACAGACACCAGTACAATTCTACAGCTAGCTCAGTGAACCAGGCCAGCAATAAGCCACTTGGCATCTCAAGTACTCTGTGGAGTAAATCAGCCTCACAACACACTGCCACCCGGGGCAGGGACAAAGATACAAGGGGCTCCTTATTATCAACGAGGCACTTGACCTGGGCCATACTCTGCATAGCATAGACACCACATGCAGGTCAGACCCTGGACTGTACACTTCAATTATGCCAGTTAGCCAACCCATCACAAGGAGCAGCGTGGCCCAGATTGCAGGAGCAGCATGGTGCAGATTGCCAGCCCAGCACCACAATCTACACAGTCAACTGGGACACTGGACTACCAAGTGCTGCTGCAACCGTTTTACTACTGAAGTCTGAACACAAAGCATCCCCACCAGTCTGCCATGAAGTCACCGGGCTCCGCTCAGCTGCACAACAGCATAGGGTGGCCAGGCAGTTCACAAAGACGAGCAACGACCATTGCCCTTTGCCCTGTGAGTGTAGACTCCGGGGAGACTGGATTGTCCTAAGTGAGCACACTATACATACTGAACAAACACCAAACAGACCAGGAGGCTGAAGACAAGAGCTACACTGACAGCTAGCTAAAGTCAAAAAAGAATAGCCTGGAGGCTATGCTGAAAAGTCAGGGATTACTTGTCTCAAGGCAGCATTTATCTATTCATTAGCAGTGATGCTGATTTGCAATGAGTGCAATACACTAAAAAAATACTTTGAAGTAAAACATATAGTGAGACATGGAAGACTTCTTTCTTTGTCCACCACCTCTCTACAAAGAACAGTCCACATACAGGACAATATTGCTCAGGCTCTTATACACCAATCCGTGTACACCTTACCATACCTGAACGCAACTACTATAATCAGAGCACCCCCTGCAGTGTACATATTTGATAGTTTCTGCCACTACAGAATCAACTACACACCCCATATCCTCTGCCCTATCCACTTTCTCTAAGTCAACGAAATGCTTAAAAAAAAAGGAATGGTATGCCAAACACATCCTCAGCCAACAAATATAATATTATGATATGGGTCCGTACCAAATGTTTAAACCCGGCGTCACAAGGTACAAGTACAATGTCATGTAACACCACACTGCATTAATGTCATATGACTGGGCAGCAGCTAACGCTTGGCAAGACCCCTCCATGGGTTTGCAGTGGAACATCCCATTTCAGACACCTCCACATTCAGGACAATATGTCGCAGTCACACATGATTGCCATTCCCCCGCCGTCATAAGCGAACACATTTTCCGTAATCATGACATATCCAAACAGTTGAATCCGTACAGTTGAACTCTGTACTAGGTCCGGACTGGTCCCTTGGGTGTTTAGGATTTATAGAATGTGTTACTATACTCACTTTGCATCCAACCATGCTGGTACATGACTATACGCTACTAAATCTCCGTATACTGGCATAGACGCTACTAAATCTCCGTAACGCAAACACAATGATGTCGCTCGCTGGTCTGCCACTCCAACCAAAGCACACACAGGGCTATTTTAATAGCTCAATACTTAAAAATATGGACCTTTTTCTGAGTTTTTCATAGCCCTGTTGTATTTCGATTGATCATGCACGCTTGCTGCACCACCGCACCATTGTACACAATGTAGTATTCCTACGCCAACTAGCACTTGTTAGTGTTACCTAGTATAGTACTAGTAAGGTTCCCTAGTTTGGTCAATCCCACAATCAGGATGCGTTAGTGTCTTACTCTTAGTACACAGTTCATACCAGTGCACATTCTGCAGGCAATGGTACATGGTGAACACTGCAATGTCTGTAATGTTCCTTAACTGGTTTACCCACCCTCCGGACACTCACCGGCTTTATGTGTGATCAGATAAGTACAAAGCATACAATAGTGAAATGGATTGCTGTCATAAGTGTAATTATTGCTTAGAAGACTTGATCAAGTTACAAGTCATAGTTGTATTTCATAATTTTGCATCCTTTCCTTTGCCAGGTGAGGGCCCCGGACCCTTTCCTTCCTTACCCAGGCCCTGCTAGTCTACTATACATGTATTTCTTGTGTTCTGATTCGTCTTTAGAAGACCCCAACTGTGATTTGGATTACGTGCTCATTCGTAGTTTTATTTCCCTGGACAGTTTGGATGTGACCTAGGGAGAAGTCAGTTGCACTTCTTTTCCAGAGGTAGCTGGTTTTATCAGTTCAAATCCAGGTGTGTACTGCAGTAAGTTAATACAATTTGTTCACCTTTTCTCATTCATGTTGTGCCTCCGACCGTCGCGTTACAACATAGGTACAACACTGCTGTACAACATCACAGAGGTTTACTAGATCGCCACACTGATTTCGTAAGCTAGACTGCTCTGCGTTAGTACTGAAAGCAGGGGCGTCGGAAGGTATTTTAGGGGGCACGGTCAGCCACCTGAAGTGCGATTTACTCGTGGGGCTGGGGTGTCTCCTCTGAAATATTTGGAACATTAGAGCCCAAATCAGTGCCTTTTATTAATTCACAGAGTACCAGGGGCAAAGAGGGGTGCGGTCAATACCGTAGTGACCGTAGCGTGTCCAACGCCCCTGGAAAGTATATTAGAATCACCCTTATCTGGACACATCTCTGGTCCTAACCGGACACCTTGCAGCTAGGGCTGCTAGGTACGTGAAATCAAATCCCGGGAATGTCTTCTTTTTCGTATAAACTACTTCAACGCAAAAGAAAGGTCATAACCCTCAGTTCCTATCATGTATGCATGTACAGTCAACTTCGCTTATAAAGACACTCAGCGAGGCATCAAAAAGGTGTCCTTATTCGCGAAGTGCCGTTATACCCGAAGTCTCATTTTATGTATTACAGTGGGATGGGACTTTGCTCTGGGCATGGAAATTCTGTCGCTATTCGCGAATTGTCGTTATATCCGCAGTCGTTATTGGCGAAGTTGACTGTAAATGATATCCATCTTTGTTCAATGGGCCGGTTACCATTAGAAGAGAATGATGTGTGTTTCCCATTACGGTTGTTGTGCATTTCTGAGTTACGTAAGATTCTGATCCCGACGCATCGGGATGAGGGAAATTCTACCGTAAGCCTAGTTTCCCACCTTGGATGAATTCACAAAGAGAAAAATGCCTTCGGCGTTGTCCTGGACTCTCTTTCAGTATGGCTGCCATCCCTAAATATGGCCCCTGCTCCTGACCAGGGTTACCAGTCACCATGGTAACCAATCACCATCGTTACCAGTCACCATGGTCACCAGTCGCCATAGTCATCAGTCACAGCTATCCTACCGCCAAGCCCTCTCCCAATACGCAAGCCCTCTCCCAATACGCACCGTCCAGCCACCCACACCTGCACAGCAGGCACATGTACACGCACACTAACCTTGATATCGCAGATGTCGGTGGCAACTTGGTTGTCGGGCGAGTTGATGAATCCAAGTCCAATAATGAAGCAGATGGTACCGATGATGGACACCGGGATCAGCATGGCCGTATAGTAACCCAGCCAGGCAAAGTAGATACCGATCTTCTCGCCAAAGTATGTGCGCACCTGATCGAGCGGCTGGAACTTGTACCAGGCCGTCCAGCTGCCCCAGACCTCCACCAGCGTCTTGCGCACATTGTCCGGGTCGTCATCGCTGTAGCCACCCTCGTGCAGCGGATAGGCTGCCGTGAACGACTTGTTGCCAAGCAAACGCTCCACGCCGATCTTGGTTGGGTCCTTGTCACCGTATGCCGTGCGAGACATGATCTCGTAGCAGATACGCGAGCGCTGGGCGTTGGTGAAGAACTTCTCCTGGTCGTCGTAGTTCAGAAACTTGTGCAGTTTAGCCTGTATAAATGGTGCTGTGTATTGGTCAGGCTCATCTTCGATATCTGGATCAAAGATGTTCTTTGAACAGCAGCAGCTAACAGCTCTGTCAATCAGACCATGCTTAGTGTACGTGCCAATCTCCTCGATCGGCAGTTGCATACCCATGTTCTCAGCCCAACGCAGGCACACCTCGAAGGGCACGTGCAGTTTGACGAAGTTAGTTACCTTGTCGACGCACTCCGTTTCAACCTCCATCTCAACACCACGCTCAGCCAGTCCTTCAAGAAAGGCGTCGCGCTTGTCTTTGCGGGACTGTTTCCAATCTTTGTCAGATGTGTCGCTGGGGTCAAGCGCCAGGACGTAGTCAATCCTGCAAATACCATCATTGAAAAACAGTCCCTGCTTAGCGTAATTCGATGGGCCTTTCGTCAACAGCACTGAGCTTTCCGCAGCTGTCAAGGTATCCTGCATGTTGCCATTGCTGGGTGACTCGGGCTGTGGAGCAACCTCCAAACCTTCAAAGCCGATCGAGGCTGCCATCTCAGTGGTAAAACACCACGAGAAAAGGTATTCTTGCTGAGTTCCGAGAGGAAGTTGCAATCTCCTGTCACAGAAGAGTATCTGCGCAGATGTCCTCGCGCACAGCTACACAGTAGGAGGAAGAAATATTCCCCCACTCCTCACACGACGGGACAGGAGCTTCGGCAACAAACCAAAGGCTCAAGTAAAGCCTTGGCGTTCGCTTTCTCCGCTTTCAGTTCAGCCGGCATAGATAGATGCATTCCACTGCTGCACGTAGATAAGTGGTCGCCGAGCGCCTGCTGCTCCAGCCAGCCTCTAATACTGCGCGCCAGCCCCGGAGGCGTAGAGTGAAAACGTGTGTGACTGAACTGCCCAGCGTTCACACACTCTACTCACACTTGTGACTTGGATTGGAACTCTTTGATGGTGATCAAAAAATGACAAAAATCCTCGAGTAGCTGTTGATCATCATCACACGACTCCAGTCACGTACACACGGCTGTCAAGAAGCGGCAACTTTAAGATGGCGTCGGTTCGAGATGGCATGGTAACCGCGCACGTGCCGTGGTCCTTGACTTGCTCATGTATGCACGCAAATGCAAGTCACAAACTCACAAAGATCGTCTTTGCATTTGGAGAAAATATCTTCGACTCTCTTTGGAGGTTGGCGAGGTTTGCCTAATCTTTACTTGATTGCGATGCCGGTATGTCCTGTCAATAATTAGAATAAAGAGAGCTGATGATCGCTTCATTGCTGAGCAGAAGTAACAATCAACTCTCCTCATGTCCTCAGTGCCAAAGGCAGACGACTGCAATTCCACAACGCTCATTTCACGATGATGGAAACAATAATCGTGTACTAGTACACACTTGGACCATTTGGTCATCCCTATTCTAGCCGCTAGTCCGTCCAGCAAGCAGATATTGACTATTACGATAAGGACAACTGCGTGAACGAGGGCTCGCCCAGCAAATACAATTCAAGTCGTGACTCCAGTCAAGAATTAGGGTCTTTACTCGAGAACTTCACAAATACAGGCCAATGCACCCCACAAAACTGATAGATGGCATGAACGAAAGACAAATAGGCTAGACAAAGTGTCCCAAGTGATTGAAAACAGCAGATCTACCAAATAAGACAGCTACATGTGCCTAAACAACAATTCCCATACAGTAGAGAGTAGTATCAGGCAGAATGAAAGCCTTGGAAGTGCACAAATACAGCCACGACCGCCACAAAAATTGGACGACCGCCACAAAAAAATTCTCATTGCTCTACCTCCTTGAAGGGTGAAAGTTACCAGTTATCCTATAGCGATGTCAGTTTATGCCTGTTGGAACCCCCCACAGCCCGCACGAAATACCTTTCAAATAATTCCAGGATGCAATTGCAGCTCCAGACAGGAGGAAGAAGAACACCGTGCAAAATAACGGCAACGATGCCCAAACTCTCGGGAAACGGCTGAAGTCTTCCTGAAGATGTTAACATTGAATAGCCATCGATTACCAGCGTGGTTTGGTGACTTTAGAACTGTTTTGAGACTTAGAACGAAGCGATATCTCAAATTTGATGGAATTGTTACCTGTCAAATGCGTGGGCGAGCAGGCCAGCTGACTGGTTATGCATGATATGCATGAGCATGCATTGATTTTTCATGGTTCACGTGCAGAAAACTAAGTTGCCGCGATCCAAGTGCAGCTAACAGCCGTGTACAGCTACAACAATGCGAGTAGATCTACAAAGCCTTTCCAGTCTGTGTGTTTATGTGATCTTGCGCCCCCGAATCATACCCTACGAATGGCGTCGCCACGCTTATTCTGCCTTGGCAACGACCTTGTCTCTACAATATTACTTTTGTAAAAAAAAGTAGGTCCACGAATGTATTTTCAATCGTGGAGCTGGAGTAGTAAAACTGGTATGGTATTTCAAGCAGGGTATGCTACTTTATAAAAAGGAAGCTTATCTCTTGGCGAATACTGTATTATTTTGCTGTTTGAATCTTTCCTCTTCCTCGATTAGTTGAGACCACTAACTTGTAGTCTTTATCCACTGGGTCAAGTCCATGCATGATCGGTCAGACTGGAAACAAAACCCACCTGGCTGACCTGGGTCATGGAACCAACTGAGATCATTCTTTTTACCAACGGTTTTATTTGCGAACAACGATGAGATCAGCTTATCACTATCAGGGTGTCTGACATAATCAGTGACACTTGACCGATAGTGAGTACAATCATGTACGAGTGGATGTGGATCATGTGGGATTCGACTGGGTGACAGCCTCAGCCCTATAAGTACAAGACTGACGTGACCCGGTGACCTCCCCACCATTACATGAGTAAGTATCGCAGCCAACTGCACTGGATACGCAACACTGTACAATTTGTAATTCCATTAGGATCAATAATAAAATACCAACTTAGAACCTAGTTGGAACAATCAACTTCACGAATAATAAAATAGTTAGTATAAATGACGTATTGAAAATGAAGTAATTGACCACCTCAACATTCTCAGCACAAAGCTGTCAAACTGCCTGGGAAAGAATCAAGGGATTCGTAACTTTTTTTACACTCCCAAGCAGTGTGCATTTTGGCCGCACTTTGTGATTGCAATATTGGTTCAATTGCAATCACAAAGTGCAGCCAAAATGCACACCGCTTGGGAAGCGTCAAGACTCCTTGGTTGTACATGCTCATTTCCCCCAGTCCGTACATATGTACACGTACACACGCATCCACACACAACTACGGTGCTGCTCAATGAAATCCAGTCCCCTCACTCAAGTTTGCGCCTTGCATCATTTCGCAGCCCAGTGTTCGCAGGTCTACACTTATAGGGCTGCACAACGCCCTGTGCATGTATGTACATGTGTCCCCGCTTACCAGTACCTTTTTCCTCTTTTCCCTTCTCTGTTTGCCGTGTTCTGTGTGGTGTGCAGAAGAAGAAACATTCCAGACAGTAGATGGCTACATCAAGCTAGGCCTGGAAGGCGTGATTATGACCATGGTGACACAGGCTGCTTCCGTACTCTCACTTCCTGATGCAGACCTGTTCTAAAAATGCATAGCACATATACACGGCAGGGAGTAGTAAACAAGCATTTCACAACTCGCTGGTTCACAGCATGCCAAAGACGTTGGCATCCATCAGGGTAATGAAAAACATGCACTCGTGTGAAACCACACACAGCACAGTAATTGACCATGGGTGACAGCACCGGCAGACACCTGTCTTAAATTGGCAGCGTGCTTTGGCTTGTACAGTATTGAGCCGTAGGCAGAGACGGCATTCATGAGGGAGTTCTAAGTTGCAAATGTGCACTAAACGATGTGCAACTCTACAGTTGCAACAGAGGTCTCTCTCTCCCTCCCTCTCTGTCTCTCTCTCTCTCTCTCTCTCTCTCTCTCTCTCTCTCTCTCTCTCTCTCTCTCTCTCTCTCTCTCTCTCTCTCTCTCTCTCTCTCAGGCATACGCTGCACTAATAGAGTGTACACAGAGTAAGAGTAATGGTCAGATTGCTATCTAGCAACACTGTGCCTAGACACCTTGGACATACAACAAGAATATACATGCGGATACTTCAATTACTTCAAAGTACAAAATGTGAACATACAACAGAAGATCAATAGACAACACGACAACGACACAAATTTACAAGTCGATGCGAGTACCAGGACAAGCACTTGCGAAACATAAAGGCATGCAAACTTGCACAGCGTAGCGGAGGTTCAAAAGTAAACAAGCGGGCATCTACTAGTACGAGCACTGCATACAAGCATGTGGCAGAGATAAACAGCAATGTTTTTATGAAGAAAATAGTTCACTAAACAAGTAAAATAAAACAGGGGAGTGGGATTCTTTTTCTACCGTGCATACATTGACAACATGACTTGTCATGACCTATTCATATCTATAATCTCAGGCAGTTGATCTGTTATAAAAGAATAGAAGCAGAGAGAAAAAAAGACACATGGCAGCGAGCGAGTCGAACACAGGAAGTGAGAGCTCCTTGGAGGCATAGATAGTTAGCTTGATGTGTGTCATAATCCCACACAACAAACTAAAGACAGAAACATTGCAGGAAGAAGTCGAATTCAAAGATCTCGTCGAGTCTCCTTACAGATTCGCAATGCATATGACTCATGGCGGGCCTGAATCTGGTTGGGAAGGAAACTTTGGAATGGCCGGAATTAGATTTTGGTGGGGTCCTTCTACAAACATGAGGATGACGACGATGAAGAATCCCAACAGGCCAACAGCAAGTAGCTCCAGGAAGCGAGCAAAGCTGATACCGCCTTGCTGTTGCTGCTGACTTTGCCCACTCACAGCAGACTTTCGCCGGAGGAGGCTTCTGCGGTCTACAGTGTCGTAGTCTGTAACATCAACCTGACCCTGTGTTGCTGCCGCCGCCACCGCTGCTTGCCTGCCATCATCGCGAGTTGGTGAACGGCTCGCAGTCGAAGGTGCTGTGCGAGCGCGCACGGGCCAGCCGCTGGCGCTCGTTTGGTCCTGCATGCGAGACCGAATACCAGCGCGCTGTGTGCTGCGCGGCGGTGTAGAACCCGCCTGTGCTACGGTTGGCACAGTGTGCTTTGCATCTGAAACACGAGGCCAGGTACGCTTTGTCAGCACTGGACCGTAATCGACGTCAGTCTCCGCATCATCATCCATATCTGGTTCATCTTCATCTAGCCCTTCGTCCCCAAGGCCACCACTCATATCATCTAGCTCTTCATCACTGAACAGAGTACGACTGCCGCCTGACTGACGTGTCTTCGCGCTGCCCTTACTTCGGAATTCGGCTAATTTCCGCTGACACACCGGTCTAGTTGTCTCGGATATTGGACCAACTTCAAAGTTATACTCTAACAACTCCTGGCGGAGGTCGGCGTCGCTGAGGCCCGTTATGTCGTCCGGCACCACCGACAGTCTCGATGTCGAGCGGGATGGGCCGATGGAAGAGCGCGATGGGCCGATGGAAGAGCGGGATGAGCCAATGGACGAGCGGGTTTGGGAACGGACAACAGCGACTGGCTTCCTCGCTACCGGAACTTCCACCTGTGGCATGGATGTGCACATAGCAAGAGAGAAACATGTGAAATTCGTCATGATCATCCACTTGTATTTTACACTGTACATGACTGTATTGAGTCTATTGTCTTGACCAGGAAACGGTTTTATGACGATACACAACTGCCATTCAAAGAGTGTAGACCCAGAGAGAAATTTAGAGAATGGCAGTAAATGGTGCATCCGTCACGCACGAAGTAAAGGCAACGTTGTAGTTTCGTACCTCCTCTTCAGAAGAGAAATCCAATTTGGATTGAGATTCGTCCACATCTCGAACGTTTCTTGAGTATAAGTCCACATAATACTTCTTCGGCCTGTTTGGCTTGAAATCGACACCGTGCTTCGTCAGCTCTTCCTTCAGCCTGACTGCCGTCAAGAGCGATGGGTCAGAAAACACAGGCATAGTTCTTTGACAAGGTACATGTACTATAGGATTCAGTGTGCAATGCCTGATTCCATTTCCTGCAATTATTCACTTCAGCTCGACCAAAAAGACCATGAACAGTGATGAAGGCTCGACTGGACTTCAAAACATTCTGGCCTGCAAGTTCAACAAAATCATTTTCTCCCGCCTTGCGTCAAAAAGCGAAAAAATGCTTGCATTTTGTGACTTTTCAGATTTGAAAAATACTGTCATCATTTTCCTGATTGCTTCTTTCAGAACAACCTCGAGCTAATAATCATTGATTGTGGATGTATCCGTACCGATAAGCTTGACAATGGCAGAAGACTCATCTAATTCCAATACTGCTCCCTCTGGTGCTGCCGCATCTTCGTCCACTGGAGACAGCGGAGGAGCGTCTGGACCCCCGAAGAAAAAGAGAATGTTCAGCAAAGAATTACGTGCTATGATGTATGGCTTTGGAGATGATAGCAGTCCTTACGTGGAAACCGTTGAGCTAATCGAGGACCTTGTGGTGGACTTTATCGGAGATGTAACGCAGAAGTCAGTGTCAGTTGGGAAACGGGGCACCGTTCGTGTAGAAGACTTAAACTACGTGATTAGGAACGACGTCAAGAAATCTGCAAGAGTCAGGGACTTGTTGATGATGAATGAGGAATTGAGAAGAGCAAAGAAGAAGTTCGAGGACTACAGCTACTAGGATTGATACTATTGCTGTGGTCCCTTTACTTTATCCTACAGCATGAACTACTAGTGTGTGTGTGTGTGTGCATGTGTGTGTGTGCGCGCGTGTGTGTGTGTGTGTGTGTGTGTTGCAACACCATGCCCAATTCTGTTGACTGCGATTTCTCTCTCTTCTCTTCTCTCTTCTTGTCGTTGTCTCCCGCTTCTGGGAGCGGCGTGGCCCGATAGGGTAGCTGTACATAGTAGTAGTAGTAGTGTGTGTGTGTGTGTGTGCGTGTGCATGTGTGTGTGTGCATGTGTGTGCGTGCGTGCGTGTGTCTGTGATCAGGTGGACAAGCCACTTGCAGCACGTGCCTAGCACAGGCCGCATGGGGTCATCCCAGCACAAGTTCCTATGTTTAAACATAGTGTGTTCGCTATCATCGCTTCGGCGATATGTATGTGAAAGTGTGTGTGTGTGTGTGTATTTTTGTCCGTGTACTTCACTTCAAATACTGTAATTTCACAGATTTTCGGTGCACTTTTTATTTTAGGTACTTTCGGTGCGTCTGTTTCATACTTAAATTTCAATACACCGAACAAACACCAACACACAATCCAATAGGGAACTGCTTCTCTGTATGTACCTAAAATTTCTGTTCACCTAACCTGGCCTTTTGCCCTAATACCGAAATATTGAGCCCCAAAAAATTCTGAAATTAAGAGTATCGATCATTACGGGTGATACCGTATGGCAAAGTAACGATCAAATTAAATCAGTTGTCTTCAGGCAGTTGTGCAACCTGGCCAATTCCTGGTCCAGTGGTTGCTGGGACATACAATGTATATACCAAGCGTCATTGTAATCATCCTTCTCTGTGTGCCCAAATGCTGGTATTCAACAGGGGACAGCACTGTGATTATCCTCTGTTTCTGTCCGAAATGCTGGTACATTGTGCTCAGCAAGGGGCATGCACTGAAGTCAGCAAAGCTGCGCTGAGCTGCTCTTGATTTGCAACAAAACAGTGCAAGCCGTTACGGGTATGCCAGAGGAGTAATTCCCCAGAGAATGAGAAATTGAAGGATTGCAGACTAATGTCTCCCCACCCACCCATTCGTTGACAGTCTCCGTCATAGCCAACCGACTCACCGAAACATAAAATAACACGCAGTACGGAAACTACACAGGCACCAATTAAAACAGTCTCTACCAGGTTGCTAAGCAACCGACTACTTCGAAGTAGCACTATTCAACTGCAGCATGCAGGCAGTCTGGGTGCTGACCCCAAGGCAGTGTCATGCAGGCAGTCTGGGTGCTGACCCCAAGGCAGTGTCTGAATTGCAGCGTACTAGTACTACAGTATTGTCTGTTGAACACTAGCATGAGAAACTGAACACAACGGGCATGGCTTGAACAGAATACATAGTAAGAAAATTGGCAAAATACTTGAAAATAGTAACAAACTTAGAGAAGTCGAACGGAATTTTTTTAAAGCCCGGAGTCCTGGCTATTTCCTGCCGCGGCGGCGGCCGGACTCGGAAACTCCAAATCCTGGCGCCCATGGCAGTGGCGTGGCTATATTGTCCTGAACAAATCCTCCTCCTCGCTGCTGTCGTCCTGCTTTTCGCTTGCCAGTATCTCCTCCAGTTCGCGTTGAGCCATGTACGCCTCTCTCTTGATCTTCTCATCCAGGCTCTTGGGTATATCCGGCACGAGAAGATCCAGGGCGTTTGCCACGATGAATGCGACGTGCTGAAGAAAATGAAGGGCAGGGTAAAACGAGAAAAGAGTGTTTTTTTTGTAAACCCAGGCTCAAGCGCACGGCTCAGTGTGAATTATGTATATAATAAATGTAGAGCCGAAGGATTTATTGCAATTACATACCAGTATAAAAACCGAGGTCCCCCGAGAAAAAAAATAAATAGTCGTTGGATTTCTCGTGTTCTCTGGATAGCAGTCGTGAGTCTTTTTTTTTTAGGGAAAAGTGCAGTGCTACATGGAAAAGTGCAGTGGTATTTATTGAGTGAAAGCAAATTTATTTGAATTTGATACTGTTGATGGTATGGTCACTAATGAGTGTGGGTATTTTATCAAAGGTCAATACATGCATATGACCGCCGTCTAACTGCAAGTATAAGCGGCCACCGCCGGCTAACCAAGCCTTGTCACCTGTAACGTATTCACCTTCATTGTATAGTTGGGAGTATGACAAGTAGATGCCTGCAATGTTCTTGCTTCGTAGTTTTTACAACGCAAGAAAAGTAATTTCACTTAGAAGTTAGAAGCGCCCAGTGGTAATGCAGTGTGAAGCTGGGCTCTCTGGCTCAGAACAGCCCGGCGTTGTGACGGTGCGTGGGCATACACTGTGCTGTCTCACCTCAAACACGATGACAAATGCTACTCGTATCGCCACCAGATGCCAGTAATCAATTGTGCGGTTTCCATAGTAATCATGGTGGCCCACGTACCTGCACAGAACGAAGGAGTAGTTTTGCAGGAAGGACACGTTATGGACATGGCACAATCAGCAATTTACTGCTGTGAGCATAATCTCCTTTGTTTATAATTATGTTGTAGGGGTGAACTGCGTATTCAGTTACTGTCAACCTCTTGAATAATGACCTCGGGTATAACAACGTCCATCACGGGAAATTTAGGTTCATTACTACTGTTAAACATATATGTTTTCAGTGTAACTGTAATTTCGGTGATTTCGGTAGAAAAAAAACCAGGCATCTAAATTTAGATATTAAACACCTAATAGGCACTAGAGTAACGTTATGCAGTGTATACAAAGGGAAAGCTGTTTCAAATCTTTATTCTCACGATAGCTGTTGTTGTTGTTGTTGTTGTTGTTGTTGTTGTTGTTGTTGTTGTTGTTGTTGTTGTTGTTGTTGTTGTTGTTGTTGTTGTTGTTGTTTGTTTGTTTGTTTGTTTTAGAGTCGAAGAACAACCAGGCAAATTTGCTTAAAGGGGAAGTTAAGGCAAAAATCAAAATTTCACCAGTTGTAGTCTTCTGGGTGCTGAGTCGAATGGTCTTGGTCCGAGGAAGCTGAGACGCTCCCTTCCTACTTGAATCCCAATCGAACTCGCGCACTTCCACCGAAACTGGATGACTGCGCCCTACTAGATGGGGATTTGTATGCAAAATGTCACTAAAAGCGCCATTTCGTTCTTATAAAAGCACGCTTGACCGCGATTGGCCCGTAGTCTTTTGGACGCTGAGTCGACTGGTTTTGGTCCGAAAAGGCTGCGATGCAGCGTTCCTCCTTTATTCCCAATCGAACATGGTCGAACAAGTGGTCACGTGCTCCTGCGTACACCAGTCACCTGGTCACCGTGCCTGCAGGGTACAACTTACTAGCCTGTTTGACCTTTTTTGGGTGCAGTCCTGTCACTCGAGTTGAACTCGAGTTGAACCTTGGTGTGAAAGTTGTCGCCTGCTAGCATGCTGGCGTGGTGACCAGGTGATTTGGGCACCCAGGAGCACGTGACCGCTTCTTCAACCATGTTCGATTGGGAATAAAGGAGGAACGCTGCATCGCAGCCTTTTCGGACCAAAACCAGTCGACTCAGCGTCCAAAAGACTACAACATATGGGCCAATCGCGGTCATCCGTGCTTTTATAAGAACGAAATGGCGCTTTCAGTGACATTTTGCATACAAATCCCCATCCAGTAGGGCGCAGTCACCCAGTTTCGGTGGAAGTGCGCGAGTTCGATTGGGATTCAAGTAGGAAGGGAGCGTCTCAGCTTTCTCGGACCAAGACCATTCGACTCAGCACCCCGAAGACTACAACTGGTGAAATTTTAATTTTTGCCTTAACTTCCCCTTTAATTACAATCAGTCATGATATCAACTAAAAGAAGAATAAAGTCTAAAAGGCCAGTAAAGGAAATGATAATAAAGCGGGTAGTAGTGCACAGGAAAACATCTGATGTGATGATGAAAAGCAGCTTTTGCCAGAGGCGGGACCGCATGAAGCGATGGTCCTGTACAATCTGTGGTGTCAGCTGATCACTTTTAATTCTACATACCGGTAATCATTACACCTGAAACCTGACAGCCTGCTGCTGGACGTATGCTGTCAATGTGACAGTATTGTGTGCCTGTATCTCAACTCTCCTTATTCTACACATTGCGTGACTGTGCTGCCACCTTCATTTCTTATTTGCTCTGTAGTACCGCTGCTATTTTTCTATTTTCGTATTTTGCTGTTTGGCGCGCATGAGCAGTGATGACACCGAGACCCTCGGTCGGTTCAGCTGCTCTTGTCCCGCCTCCACTGCTTCGGCTGCCATCGCTATGTGGATCTCTGTGCCTTTTTGCCGGCATTTGCACCATGATGGGCTAGCTCCCGTCATCAAGCAATACACAACACGGCGGTAAAACTGTCTTCTGAAATCCCTTCTTATGTGGCATATGCATTTGTCTGTCACGGGTAACAGCCGCTCAAAGTTGCTCCAACAGCACCCAATGGGAGATTACATTATACGAGCTCTGCTCAATTTGCATACAGTATTGCCGCCGAAATTCTAGCATCCGACTTCGGACAGGAACGCTGCACGATGCCTGGAGCTAGCAGGAAGGAAGTATTCCTGGAGGGGGCAAACCGAAATGAAGAATTTCAATAAAAATGCTCACGACCCAGCTACAGGCGTAGTGCAAACTGTCCCCAGAATATCCGAAATCGAGTTTCTTGTGTGCAGTAGTGAGAGTGCATGAAGGGATCCCTGCGCCTACTAGAACACATGTGACGGTGTAGGAACCTAGTTTTAAAAAGTCGGTATCATTGTTATGCAACGAGATCAAAGTACCGTACCAACAATCATAGCCAAGTCCTGATCCGTTCACGCTACCGCTAATCAGAGAGTTGGTGAAGTCGGTGATTCCAACTAGATCCTGTTTGAAGTTGAACTTGTAAAAGACACGGTCAATGAAACTGGACGTGAAGCCGATGATGAAGGCCTGCAGTGATCAGGGGAAACAAAATTTTAATCGGCATTAGCGAGGAGGTAAGACATACGATGCGGCAACAGCAACAGCAACAGCAACAGCAACTGCAACAGCAGCAGCAGCAACAAAAACAACAACAACAACAACAACAACAACAACAACAACAACAACAACAACAACAACAACAACAACAACAACAACAACAACAACAACAACAACAACAACAACAACAACAACAACAACAACAACAGCAGCAGCAGCAGCAGCAGCAGCAGCAAAAACAACAACAACAACAACAACAACAACAACAACAACAACAGCAACAACAGCAACAACAACAACAACAACAACAACAACAACAACAACAACAACAACAACAACAACAACAACAACAACAACAACAACAACAGAATGTGTCTCGTAACTACATGTACTACGGCTTGAGTGCCATACAATGATGCTGCACAACCCTCGCGAGTCGCCATCCATGCAATTTTCCCCGCATCAGGGGCGGGATATAGCACTTACACTGCAGATGATGGAGATTTTGACGATCATGTCAAGGATGGTATACCACACTCCTACAGCAGTGGAAGCGCAGAACAGTCATGACTATTACCAAGAGTGTGCAACTCTGCATATGGGGTCTCCGACGGCGAAAAATCACATCACGTGTCTCAGATACATTCGTGCTATGTACAAACGACGGATAGCGTGCGCACAATCCGAATATCTGCCATGATCATGCTGGGGATTTGCATCCCCGCAGTGAGTTTCTGTCCGAGAGTGCTTTTTTTATTACTCCGCTGCTCGCTAAAAACAGGTTGGAAACGTACAACTGCGACACTGCACCACGCGATGTGAGTTTTCGCCGTCGGCGTACCCCATAGAAAGGGTATCAGGAGTTGCACACTCTTGGAGGGTTATATACTCTTGCTAATACCAAGAGTACATAACCACCAGAGTGTGCAACGCCTGATGATCCAGCTCTGCATACTCTTGCTATCACGCTAATAGTAATGCTATAGTGTGGGTGTAGAACCGAAAGAATGATGTAGACAAAGGTACGAAGATACGGAGGAGAACGGTTGAGACAGGTCAGTGACGGAGTTGGAACAAGGCCACCCTTTTGCTCCTTAATTCCAAACAAGATTGGAGCCTACGGTTTCCTCAATTCACACACCCGATCACGGTCTCTTCGCTGCAAACGTCACTTTTAATACAAGGTGGCGTGGAGATGACTGTGACAAGAAAACGTTCTGGACATGAAACTACTTCGGTTGCTATGCTTGTGATACGAGTGCGCATTCAATATTGTTCATCGCCGTTATTTAATAGAGGTTCACCAAATGTTTTCGGACCTGGCTCATCACCAGGATACAACAGTAAACTAACTGAAAACAAGACTGAACAGAGAACAGAGATTGGAGATTGGAGGCTATGGGCACATGTAGAAAAAAACCCTCAAATAACACCCGGATAGAACTCACCAATGTCTTGCGCAACCTGCGGTACAGGTCGCCTCATGGCACTGACATAGTTGTGTGCGTCCAGTCTGATCTCAATCCAGTTGTTCAGCAGGGCAAACAGCGGCGCCAGCGGGAACGCAGCTACGAAGATGGTGATGAAGCCAAACTGCAACACTGCATGATCAGGGAGCGAGAAGCAAGAAAGCATTGACTCGGTGCAAAGCAGGGAGTACTAAACTTACTACTAGTAGTGGGTGTGTTTACTACTCCCTGCAGTAAAGCACACTAGCTAGTCAAGTGAAGCATAGCTAGTACAAAGTCGTCAGCATCACAGGGGACACATGTTATGGGTTCGCCGGCGTACAGCCGATGAGTCACAGCACGATTCGAAAAACCCACCCGTTTCCAAGCAGGACTTGAAGCTGGGCCTCTCTGATTATTCAATCATATTCGTCTCTTAAAAATCCACTCACTGCGCCTGTCAGGCTGAATGACTGATGAGACTGGTATATATATTTTCAAATTTCAGAATATTGACCACTTTCGTGAGTCCAGTCAACTCACACTCACTGCTTCACTAGCTATTACAAAACCAAAAAAACGTCCATTGCGTGTTCTCAAAGTGAAGCTCACCCATTTCCAGGTACTCGCCAAACAATCCTTCGTCCTCTTCCAGTGTGAAGTCTTCTTCCCACTGTATCACTTCCTTCTCAGCTCGTGGTATCAAACCTGCAACGTCGATGCCTGCTTCGGCAGCTTGTTGCTCTGCTTCCTTGCGTGCTTTGCGCTTCGCCATGAAGTTCTTCAAAAGCCTGAGGGAGAGAGAGAGAGAGAGAGAGAGAGAGACAAGGAGAGACAGGCAGAGAGAGACAGACAGATTTCTTCAATAGCCTGGGGGGAGAGAGAGAGAGAGAGAGAGAGAGAGAGAGAGAGAGAGAGAGAGAGAGAGAGAGAGAGAGAGAGAGAGAGAGAGAGAGAGAGAGAAAGGGAGAGGCAGGCGTGTGCGCCGATGCCCTTCAAGGGGGGGGGGTCGGGGGTCTCCCCGGGATTTTTTCAAAAAATGAAGCAAAATCCTGCATTTTGAGCGAAAAAAGGGGGGGGTTCCGGGCACCCAGGAACCCATACGGGGCACGCACCTGAGAGGGGGTGGGGGGGGGGGGGGGGGGATAACACAGACCACAGAAAACCACTGGCATCTCTCATTGTACATGCCCTTGAATAGATATATTGTGCAGCCATTGAGTGTGGACCCCGGAAGCATCATAAAATAATTCACTTCATATGCATCACCGTGACACATACACACATACACACATACGCACGCATACACACACGCACGTGCGCACCTACACACACACACATGCATACACGGTAATAGTAGTAAGAAATTACTCCCTCCGCTAAGCAAAACTTCGTTGCGTTTTTAGTGTTCTTGTCATGATATTTCTGTCGGCATTAGACATACATGTCAGTGATCTATCCCCAACATAGGGCAGCCGAGTTGTCGTCCATTGTTCTGACAGGCCTTTGAACCTCCGAAAAGCGTGGAGTCCTTTGACAAAATCGGCGAAGCAGAACCGTTTCTCGCCAGGATGTCACCAGAACACAACCCTAGGCGCGCGCGCTTGACACCAAAGTGCGAAAATTAGAAACAGTTTGAAAGACTGTGTGGCTCGAAGAAGTGTCCACGAGACGGCCAGCGCTCAGGCACTGCTGTACTAGCACTAGTCGATGGTGTGCATCCGCACACAGCCAAAATCAATGCACTTGTGTTTGCAGCACAGGGGAAATCAAAAGTGTTCGGACATTCAGGTTGTCGTTCAGTCGGCACAAAATCCTGATCTCAACGTCGACCACTTGGCGTTCTTCCACAGCCTGTAGACAGACGTGTCACTCGTGGCGAAGGAAACCAGAAAGGAGCTTCTGCAGGGTGTGGAAACGTGCTGGCACGACTACACCGCTGCGAAGATGGGGAGCGTTTCTTTGGGGCTGTATGGCTCCTTCCATGGCGTTCCGGAGAGTGGCCACAACTACCAGCGCCACCGTGGAGGTCGTCAAGCTCACAGTTCGAGGGAAGAACTTGGCGATCTCCACGATCGAATCGCGTCTTGAAAACTTGTAAAGGCTGCGGAACAAAAGCTGGCAGTCCTGGAGGCGAAAGTCAGCGAGGATGCAGACTCGATGTCATGAGGGAGTGAGTCGTCATCAGATTCAGACGAAGAGTGAAGCTGGACTGCTTCGAAACGAGCTGTGTGACACCTGTAAATAAATATCTTTCATATGCTGCCTTGTTTTCCACTTTGCAAAGCGTGTTCGTAGCCATAGAATGATTCGGACTGAACTGTAAAAACGCAACGAAGTTTTGCTTAACGGAGGAAGTAGGATACTCTGGAATTTTTTAATTGTTTTACTCACGGTAGTATGAACTCCAGTACATTGTTAATCATCTGTTTTCCCACCATGATGATAGCAAGCTGCTGGGCCAGTTCTTGCATGCAGCCCGCAGCAGAGCACTGGGAAAGAGCATACAGGAGCAGATATCTTACACAACCGTGACACAGTCACGGTCCATGCCAAAACAAGTCGAGAACGTTCCCGGCATACATGACTGTCGCGGTGCTTTGCGGCCAGTGTAAAATCACAGGACCGGCAGAAGCAATTTTGATTGGTCTGGCCGTACCATAGTCTTCCATACAGTTTGTGTATGATATGGCGGGTAACCAACGTCGCCAAAGAGTTGGTGTGGTTTTGCCTCACCAAGCTTTGCCCAAACATCCTCAGCAGACGCATCTTGCTTCACGCTGCCTATCGTATTGGCAGCCATCTATGATGATGGTCCCAATGCACCAACCTGAACTTCTTATTCTCACCACTGGAAATGTTTGGGAGCCTATTTCGGAATGGTGCCCACAGGCAAATGTTGAGACATAGTCAATTTAACACGAATGTATTTGGACAACATCAGTGTGCTAACCAGCAGCGAACGCTAGTATTGCGACATGATCAACACTGCATATGTCAAGTTCCCTTAATGAACCAACCAAGTCATGACCAGCAATTGGCACTCCATACAAGGCTGCCGGAAGCAACCCTGGGCTTTGACATGCATCATGTAGTGACATATGTCAGGCCTGTCTGTCGACTACCAAGAGCAGTAAAGGTATTTGGAAAAAAAGAAAAAAAAGAGTTCTATACGTCCCCAATGTGTTAGGGCCATCCAGCAGAGAGGTGAATGCGTGAGGAATTTGGCCGGCCGTCTTCACAAATTATAACTACAGTAACATGACAGTGACAAATCCTGGACAAACTGCAGCAACGACATGACTGGGATGCAAGCGTGGATGACTAAAAACGACCGCAGAGCAGCAGCCACATGGCACCGAAGATAAAACACATGTCACCCACTTCAGCCACTCACCTGCTCAGGATGGAACTTGAACACATTCAGTGCCCAGTGACCAGGCTCTCCTAACCAGCTGTTCAGGACCAACAGGGACACAACACAGATGGCAGTGCATCCACAGTTATTGTCTCGAGGATAGATGATGCCAACAGCAGTGGGGGCCAGGGGCTGACAGTGACAATACCAGCAGCAGCGCTGGCATGACGTTTCGTCGCAAAACCATTTTCAACAGAGGGAAAGTTGGTTGCTCCCCATACAGGAGGTCGCTCTTCTCCTACCAACATCCTATGACACTTAAAACGGACTCAGAGCTACCATCCTAGCTAGGGAGCAACCAGCGGCCGCCAAAGTCTGATGTCATGCTTAAATCTTGGCAACATGTAACAACCAGCTAAGTGGTAAGAAACAAAAGTCTCCGACGATCCTGCAGGTTTCCATGCATTTCTAATCTATGAGTTACAGCACCTCTTTGACTCGGTAGTGCACAAGTAGAATACAGCCCTTATACTGAAGTATGGCGTAGACAGGTTTCATTGTACAGACAGACCTCGCTTACCCGGTCCTCTTTTATCCGGATGACGCCTCGCAATCCGGAAGATAATCGTTGGTTACCGATTTACAGCATATGCCATGCATACATACAGTATGTGTGTGTTCGATTATCCGGTTCCCTCGCCTATCCGGATATTTTTTGTGGAAAAATGGATGTGTGCGGTTATGCGAGGTCTGACTGTACTTAAGAGCCCCTTCCTGTGCCAGAAGCCTCAGTACTCAATAAAGAAGAGAGAGGAGTAAGCCGAATGCGCGTTGTACCTACCGGCCCTTGAAGAACGCAATGTAGAACAGAGAGGAGTAGTAGTTGGCAAACTCAAACAGGAACCGCTTCAGCGTCAGGTTGTCCTGGTATGACGATTCAGTACGGTGGTTCTCTGAAAACATTACATGGCAACAGTACAACATGCCGGGTGGTCGTTTATAGCGGTTAAAGAGAACTTGTCTGTGAATGCTTGCCAGACGGTAAATGTTGCTACTCTGGCAAAAACTTATCTGCTCCAAAACTCTTCAGTGTCAGATGTTACCATGTAATTATGTACGGGCTATTCATAAGTTAGAGGAGGGTACTGAAAAAGGAGAGGGGGGGGGGGGGGGGTCTGTAGAAACATTGACTGTCACGAACAGGACTTTAACCAGGGACCTTTGCTGAAGGCCAGCGATGCAATGAAATATACGGGCAGCAACATAATTGCAAATACAGTGTAAAGTGTGCTTTTATCTGCCCCCCCCCCCCCCTCAAAGTTCCAAAATAAGTGTACGCTTCTCATCAGCTGAATATTTGAAATAGACGAGAAGCACTCTTCCCAGAAACTATGGAACACCAAGGCTGCTGAAAGACTTCAGTACATACCCCATTCGGTCAGTATGACTGCCAGTTTCTCATAAATCTGTCAATAAATCCCACATGCACGCAGACACCGGTAGCACACATCCACAAGCATACACACATCCACAAGCATACACACGCGTGTTTGCGCACGCATATGCATGTAAGCACGCAAGCACACACACAAACATGTACACACATACATGATCAAATGATCATTGGAAAACCATGATGAATGTCAACTCAAACACTCTTTGTTGTATAGGCACAGACAAGCATGCACAATGAAGCTCACTCCACTCTGCAGGTGCTCTATTGCACCATTGTAAATGTGGTTCAGATTTGGCAAAAAAGATCACGGTTCGCGTGAGACTCGGTTCATCTATATAGAGGCCGAGTTTTCCGCATCCGTAGGAACGCCACCACCCTTCAAGGATCAAGGCGCAGATGCAGCTCCTAAAGCGGTGGGAGGTGAGTAGATCAGCTCACCAGCATGTGGTCAAAGACCGAAAATCCCATTCACTGCATCCATGTTTTCCTCGTGCCAGGCCACGAGTTCCCAATTAACTGTGGGTTGCAGCACGGCTGAAAAAAAATCCAAAGAGGCCATTCAAATAGTAATCCAACAGAAAGAACTGGTTGCTATACAATTATCGTTGTGATATACACACACACAATCAAACAGAGCTACCAAAAAGGCACATGACATCACCAACCTTGCTGAGTATGATGATGATGACGACTTGGATAACAGATGACGAGACGCTAGCCACGGTGGCACCAAGGCCCGCACCAAGCAGCTTTGTGCTGAATGTGCGATACACCATGACAGCTATAATACTGATACCTATCATGCCAACCTGAAGCAACACCGGATCAGACAAGGGGGCAAAGATGATCAGTTAATTAAAACTAGGCTAGAGTAGTTTTACATGGCCTTATGACTTGAAATCTGCAGTCTTCCGAATTGCCAACTTGCTTCTAAGCCGACCTTTCACATACACACATCTACACACACCAACTTCCAACTTCCAATAGTGTCCGTGTAGCCTCCAGCTTCCAATATCCAACTGCAGATAGCCGGGTTTACCGATATGGACTGGTAAATGACCTTTCACTTCATGAATATGAACCCAGGTAGCCCACTGAGACGGTCTCAGAGACTCGGACTGTCACAACTATAGTACCAAAGAGATGCGAGGCAAAGTAGCGGAATAGATGATGCGTGGTGACTAGGGGTGAAACGAGTATCTATTTTGACCAATCGATCACTCATTCATAATATTCGATCGAGTATCCGATTATTTCGAGTATTTTATCAAAATTCAAAAGCACTAGATTTCCGAGTTCTCGACCAATTCGGAAGAAATTATCTGTGAACATAGAACAAAATTCGCCAACGTCTTGTACAGAGTGTAAAGTAACGATTTTCATCAGTACTTTCATATCTCAGAACGTTACTTGCCGTGGTGATCGCATCGTCCAAGTCTTAAAATACTGACTTAAATCCATGCATAACGCATGCATACCAGTGGACCAGCGGTACAACAAAAGTTTTTTGAAAATACAATGCCAATACCAAAAAAAAAAAAAAAAAAAAAAAAAAAAAAAAAAACGATCGAGTGCAAAATTTCGAATACTCGCTCGTTTGAAATTTTCGAACGAATACTCAAATATTCGAACTAATCGTTTCACCCCTAGTGGTGACACAAAACTAGTACATGTACATTGAAGGACGATTCTCCTTCGCAGAATGGAAGCGCACACCGTTAGCCTAGGGTGGTTTTTCCATGGCCTTAGGGAGCATCTCCTAAGTTCGCACTTTTTTTGTAAACGTAACGCATTTCGAATAGACTTTACCCCCCTACCTCCCCCCACTATTTGAAAATCTTATAGCACATTTTCAGTGTAGATCTACTGTACTGTACATGCCATGGTATGCACAATCATGTACAATGTTCATGTACATGGACATGGACGCTAGTGTCGAAGTGAATGACATACAGTAGTACTACCACATCTACTGAGTACAAGTAAGTATTAGTTACAGTCTTAGTTCAATCAATGACATGTACACACACATAAACAGAGTTACTCCACAACGACTGTACTGTCAAAGCTGGCCAGGTGGCAGGTACACGGTTTGATCAGGCTGGTGTGACATTTGACACCTCTGAGGCTGCGTTTACACGACAACGCACGGCCAGTTTTCCGTTTTCAGTCCCGCATTTCTTTTTTCGTTTTCGTACGTTTACACGATCAAAGCCGATCCGAGGTGGTCTCCGTTTGTATCGTTTTCAAGCGTCTACACGAGAGCAAAGGATCCGCCAAAGTTCGTCATGTGCCAAGTGTTGTCGTGGAAGCACCAATCACACTCAAGTAATGGACTAATGGTTGAAAACAGGCACACGACAACACACGTCACATGACGAAAATTGTAAAAACAATTTTTTTGGATTGTCGGATCCGTGTAAACGGCCGAAAACGAAACAAACGTGACGGAAAACGAGGCCAGCACACCGTTTCGACTGTTTACACACCCACATTTATCCGGCAGAACATTTCCGTTTTCAAATTCTTCCACCTTGGCCAGCGTTTTGGTTTTCTTCCGTTTTGGTGTACAACTTTTACGTTTTGCTCCGCGTACCGTGTAAATGAACAATGGATCCGAAAGGATTTCGTTGCGTTTTCGCCCCCAGCGTTGTCGTGTAAACGCAGCCTGAGTAGCCTGCATGCGTAGTGCAAGGGTTAGATCTACACCTAAAACACACCCGTACCCTGCTGTCTGAAGCGGTCTAGCACAAGCACAGCACTGTATTGCACACATCCAGAAAATGTGCGAACTGTCATTTTTCTATCCGAAATGGGCGCTACCCCCCTACCCCCGTTTCGAAATGCGTTACGTTTAGAAACAAAATGCGAACTTAAGAGATGCTCCCTTAGGACTTGAAATCTGCAGTCTTCCTGGATTGCATGTATGTCAAAGGGGTAGGCCTCCTAGTTAGCCTGGCAGAATTCGCCATTTTTCTCACCGGCATGGCACTGTATGTAAGTATTGGCATTCCTGCACATGATTTAGTGCTAACTGATGAATATCTCTCTCAAGAATATCCTAGCTGCGTTGGATTCAAGGGCATACGGGTCTGTGTTGACAACGCTAGGTCCACGCAGCAGCAGCAGTTAGGTCAGCACTGGACACGCAGGCATTCTCTCACCATAGCCAGAAGAATTGAGAATCCAGTAAGGTAACGTGGCCAGCGCTTTGCCTCGGGCATGTATGGCTCCACGGAGTCCGTGATGGGGTTTTTCCGCCGCTCAGTCGCCTTCAGGGCGTACTTTGCCCGGATAGGTTCCTAAAGAAGCCAAGGAACACATACATACATACACACACATAGGTACACACACACGTACACACACGTACACACACACAGAGAAAAATGAGACTGAAAGGGAGAGAGGGAGAGAAGGAGAGAGAGAGAGAGAGAGAGTGTGTGTGTGTGTGTGTGTGTGTGTGTGTGTGTGTGTGTGTGTGTGTGTGTGTGTGTGTGTGTGTGTGTGTGTGTGTGTGTGTGTGTGTGTGTGTGTACATGCACGATAAGCTCTGCAGTGCGCAATGCCAAATACTAGTGTGTGCCACATACCTCCTCAGCTTCAAAGTCCATCGTGTTCCAGCGAAAGGAGAGCACTGCTGTTTGCCGCTTCCAGAATTCCAGAAACAGGGTAGCTGTACAGGGTCGAATAACATAATTTGCACGAAAGCACCAGCGGAATCAATGGAAGCCGGCTACGCATAAGACATGCGATGGCTTAGATTCTCCATGACTTCATTTGGGAGTGAACTACACCAACCCTGGTCCACCGACGTGCTGCACAACTACACGCAAATTCTACGGTAATTCATAAAACAGTGTTATCCACAGCTACTCTCCTGTTGTTCAGAAGTCATCAAAAGGCAAACTATCAGCTCCAAATGTCGCACACAGAAAATCCTGTTGTGGAATTGCGTGACTGTACTTCCTCTTGTGGCTTATTGCTTCCAGTATTAGCACTGTACGCTGTACTAATAGGAACGTGCAGTACCTGCAGGTCACATGCCATCAGTGCTAGTTTTATTGCATTCTGTGGTTTGGATGATTACAAGTTACTTCTGTAGCACACATTGCATAATCATAATAATGAGGGTGATAATCCTAGGCTACAGTGCCTGCCAGCTGTGTTTGGCTGTTAGAAGCTGTGTTTACACGTTATGACGAGATGCTTTGGTTCTTTCTAGAAGGTCTCTCCGAAACCTTGTGTCACTGTCAGCGGTTCCCAATATATTAGATGCTGTAGCTGCCGCTAGCCGCTGACTCATTGTTGTTCTCATTTGCATGTATGACTGCCCACATAGTTTAGAGGTGCTTTTCTTCCTCCAGCGTAGAAGCTGTTCCAGGAACTACCGTACATTAGATGGCACACCTTTGTGAGCCGGTTACGCGGAATGCTCTGATAGGTCACTGCTTCCATGGCTTACGACTATATCCTCTTCCTTTTTGTTACCTAAGTTAGTTGCGTTTAGACCGCGGTGAGATGTTTGGCCAGTGATGAACTCTTTCCTCTCTCGTCTTCGTGCATTGTCTACTTTTCGAGCGTATACTGCTTTCCCATTTCAGACTTATTTCACCCTCAGACCTGTGGTTGCTTTGGGCAGTGTGTGCTGACAGTGTGGTGCAGGAAATGGGGGGAAATTAGTCAACAGCGTGGTGCCGAAACCCGGGAGCTCGACTAGCGGAGGTTGTTTGTGGTACTAGGAGTGTGAGGAATTGTTTGTCAGAAAATGTAGAGCACAGGATGGCAAGCATGAAAGTGGACAATTTTTTGAGGCCGTTTCGCGGGAAGGCCACGGAGAGCTGGGGACCAGTTCTGGGCCAAATACCTGGTCATGGCGGAGATCCAAGGATGGGATGACGAAACGAAGAGAATGAAAAACTTTCCTTTGTTTCTCGACGGCGATGCCTTCCTTGTGTACCAAGGGTTGGCGGCTGCTGACAAGAAGAAGCAGGACGAAGTGACGGCGCTGATGAAGACGTCCTTCAACATGACGGAGACCAAGGCGTACCAGGCGTTTGTGGCGCGCCGGTTGAAAGGTGATGAGTCTGTTGATGCGTTTGTCGCTGACTTGAAGAGGCTGTCCACCCTCTCAGGACACGAGGTGGCCGACGATAAGGACTCCGTGATAATTCAGCAGTTGCTGAACGGCTTGTCAGCAGATTTTAGTCGGCAGCTTCGACTCAGCATGGCTGGCAAGGACCTCACCATAAGCGGCTGTTGTGCGACCGTCCGTGCCCTCAAGAGCTCTCGGATGATGACAGCCAGAGAGCACCTGTGTCAGTAGCTTTAGCTGTGGACAGTGGTGCTAGGCATGATGCGGAGAGCAAGCGGTCACTGAGCTGCTTCAAGTGCGGAGAGGTCGGACACATTCGTAGAAATTGCCCCCGACGTAGCAATGACGGCGGAGGAGCTGGCGACAAGCAGATCCAGCGAAAACGGGCAGGTAGTCCCAGAAAGCCTTTGGTGTGCTATTTCTGTGACAAGGAAGGTCACACGAAGATGGACTGCCAGCAGCGGAAGAAGTGGATGGAGACGAGACGGGTGGCTGCTGCTGCTGCGACGGGTCCAGACAAGGAGAGTGCGGCATCAGGGGGTGGCCATTGCCTGTGCACCGTTGCCAGGGCAGGACAACTACCTCGAGTGTATGTCGATGTCCGGAGCTCTGACAGTGAGGATGGAGTGCGTGCCAGAGCTGTAGTGGACACTGGATCGGCCCGTACGTTGGTGGCGAAGCCCTTCGCCAGGGATCACTACACATCCATGTCCTCTACTCCAATGCCACCTATGATCGCACTGGATGGAAGTCTGGTGGAGGTGCTTGGTACGCTGACGGTGACGCTGGAACGAACGGACGGTCCAGTCACGCTGCCCCCAATCGAGGTGAGCGCTTATGTGGTGGAGAGCTTGAGTGTAGTGGACTCTGACGTCCTCATCGGTAACGATGTCATCACAAGTAGTGGCGGCCTGCATCTGCAGTATGATGAGGATGGATGCTTGTCGAACGTGGTGTTCGGGACCCTGGCTGCCAAGAGCCCAGACGTGTGTGCAGTATCGTCCAACGCTGATAGTCACCCGTACCCTCATGTGCGTGTGGAGCGTAGTGGCCAAGACGTCGTGTTGACGACTGCGCCGTCCGATGGGACAGCAACAGCCAGAGGTGGATCATGGGCTGGACCTGGAAGGCCGGGACACCTCCATCACAGCCAGAGGTGGACCTGGAAGGCCGGGACACCTCCATCACAGCCAGAGGTGGACCTGGAAGGCCGGGACACCTCCATCACAGCCAGAGGTGGACCTGGAAGGCCGGGACACCTCCATCACAGCCAGCGGTGGACCTGGAAGGCCGGGACACTTCCATCACAGCCAGAGGTGGACCTGGAAGGCCGGGACCCCTCCATCACAGCCAGTCGGATGCGGTGTCGGCGAGTTCTCCCGCCGGAGTCTAACGGAGGACCAGGAGCAGCTGTTTCGGACGGAGATTGACGTGTGGATCAATAGAGGGTGGGCGATACCGTATGACCGCTCCGCTCCGTCCACGGTGAGCCAGCCTGTGTTCTGCCACTGCTAGCGCAGGTACAGGAACATAAGTCCTCCAATCCGTCCGGCCATGCTTGGGACTACAGAGAATTGAACAAGCTCCTTTTGTCACAGCCTGGCTATGATGCCCCTGTGCGCGAGGATACCCTGCGGAAGTGGCGAGCCATCGGTGATGCCAGCGATTTCAGTGTCCTGGACATCAGGAAGGCTTATCTGCAAATCCATGTGGCACCCGAGCTGCTCAAGTATCAAGTTGTCGTCTGGAAGGGAGAGCGATATGCCATGACTCGGATGTGATTCGGCATGAACGTTGCTCCCAAAGTCATGGACATCGTGGTGCAGTGGACAGTGCGACACTTCTCAGCAGTCGACAACTACGTCGATGACGTGGTGACGCCCACTAGTGACGCGGACGCCGTGGCCAAGCAGCTTGCTGAGTATGGGCTGCCGACAAAGCCGGTGGAGCCTATGGCGTCGTCTAGGGTTCTTGGCCTACAGCTAAGCCAGAACAAGGAAGGACACGTCGTGTGGCACCGGAGAGAAGGACTTGACCTCAGTTTGCCGCCGCAGCTGACGAAGCGTCTACTCTTTAGTTGGTGCGGCCGTCTGACCGGGCACGTGCCAGTGGCAGGGTGGCTGCGCCCGTACTGCAGCTACTTGAAGCGTCTCGCTAACCTCGTGTGCCCAACGTGGGACCAGCTGATCTCTGATCCTGCCCTGCCAAGTTCTGCGGAGAGCTGCAGGCGAAGGTCTCTGGTGATGGTGACCCGGCGCATGGCTTGTGGCAGAGCAAGTCGTCTGAAGGTGTTGTCTGGACGGATGCGTCTGATGTGGGTCTCGCAGCGGTGGTGCAGATTGGTGGTGCAGCGGTTGAAGACCGGTCGTGGCTTAGACCCTTGACCGGCAAGCGGCACATCAATGTCGTGGAGCTCGAGGCGGCAATCCGTGGTTTATCGCTCGCGGAGCACTGGAAGTGTAAGCGTGTCCTCCTCAAGACAGATTCAAATTCTGTAGCCAGCTGGCTCAGCGACGTCATTGTTGGTGACCGCGTGATGCTACGACAGCCTAGTCGTCACCAGAAGTGCCTGGCACCTTTCGAAAGTGGCTGGGAAGTCGCAGCAGTTGTAGCGCCGACAACTATCAGGATTCGGAGGATGTCGAACCACCAGCTGATGAAGACCGTCAACCTAGCCCTCCTGAAACCTGATGTCATGTGTCGTGAGCAAAACGACGTGCCAGTGGAACATGACCAGGAAGAGGACGACAGTGTTGGTGAAATTGATTGGTCGGACTCTATTGCGGCTGGTGAACCAAGGTATGGCCTGCGTGATCGAGGTAACATTCGTGTTCCTACTCGCTATGCTGATTAATCCCCTCATGTCACCTTGTGATGGGGTGTTGTGGAATTGCGTGACTGTACTTCCTCTTGTGGCTTATTGCTTCCAGTATTAGCACTGTACGCTGTACTAATAGGAACGTGCAGTACCTGCAGGTCACATGCCACCAGTGCTAGTTATATTGTATTCTGTGGTTTGGATGATTACAAGTTACTTGTAGTACACATTGCATAATCATAATAACGAGGGTGATAATCCTAGGCTACAGCACCTGCCAGCTGTGTTTGGCTGTTAGAAGCTGTGTTTACACGATATGACGAGATGCTTTGGTTCTTTCTAGAAAGTCTCTCCGAAACCTTGTGTCACTGTCAGTGGTTCCCAATATTAGGGATGTCAGCGAACGCACTGCGCAGGCCTCTGCGCATGCATTGCGTCATCGATTTTTTGAACGTGATCGCGGCCGACAGAGAAAACATGGCCGCGGTCTGATTGCACCTCTGGGAGTCGTAAAATTACTGTTCTTCTGTCCCCGCGACCATTCAAATCATACGCGATACTCGAGGACCCACGTACTCACCACGTTCTCCCCGGTCGATTTCTCTGAAAGTTTGCACATCGTGAAACACCAGTATGAGAGGTGTTCAGGCCAATTTTCAAGGAATTTCCCTGGTTGGATCGTTCCAAAATCGAACTTCCATTTCTCGCTCGCGGCCATTTCTTGCGCGATGGAAGCGCCCTGCCCTGGTGAGTAACCAGCATCGCGCTTGGTAGAGAGTTGCTGCAATCAGCTCCCTGATGTCTTCGCTGCCATTGTCAGAAGCGATGGACCATGAATTTGTTTGAGAGTCTCTGGATACTACTATTCCTCAGCCTAGTTTTCAGCCATTCCGTGCATCTTCTTCGCACGATTTATTTTGCAAAAAAATGAAAGTGTTCATGAGTTTTCTTGTCGGCCGCGCGTAGATGGGCCAGGCTGACCTGCGCAGATGGCCTGCGCAGTGCGTTCGCTGATATCTCTACCAATATATTAGATGCTGTAGCTGCCGTTAGCCGCTGACTCATTGTTGTTCTCATCTGCATGTATGACTGCCCACATAGTTTAGAGGTGCTTTTCTTCCTCCAGCGTAGAAGCTGTTCGAGGAACTACCGTACATTAGATGGCACACCTTTGTGAGCCGGTTACGCGGAATGCTCTGATAGGTCACTGCTTCCATGGCTTACGACTATATCCTCTTCCTTTTTGTTACCTAAGTTAGTTGCGTTTAGACCGCGGTGAGATGTTTGGCCGGTGATGAACTCTTTCCTCTCTCGTCTTCGTGCATAGTCTACTTTTCGAGCGTGTACTGCTTTCCCATTTCAGACTTATTTTACCCTGAGCCCTGTGGTTGCTTTGGGCAGTGTGTGTGCTGACAGCGTGGTGCAGGAAAGGGGGGGGGGGGGGGATTTGTGAACAATCCAATACAGCCGGTGACCACCATTAAGGCCATGGACATGTTTAGCCCCCCACCTTCCAAATAGACAACACCACTGTACACTGCACACTGGATGATTCAACTACTTACCCACACCCCTGTGCAAGTCGCTACATTAGATTGCTTGCATGCATGCAGGCAAAGTGGACTACTGGGCTACTTTCCATCAAAAGCAATATCTGCTTTTTGATGATTCTACTGAAAATGTGCACGTGTGACCATGGCATCAGCCATGTGACAAGCCTGAGTTTTACAAACAAAGCAACAACGTTCTAGTAAGTTTCAGAAACAAAGCAACAATGTTCTAATCATGAAGTGATAGCAACACAAGGTTGTTCAAGCGCCGCTACACAGGAATCAGATGCCGAGGCCGGGGAGGACTTACCCCATAGCGCCATGAAGACTGCAAAGAACACACTTCCCTCGTTGTCAAACATACGCTCCATCTGCACAACCGACCGGCCAACAAGCAAACAGGACAACAGAATGGCAGATGTGTCCACTAGCTTGGCTAAGACTAGGGCTAAACCAAGGTCAAACTAGGGCACACTCTGGGACACACGTGCAGTGCTTACCAGCTATTACTATATGCACATCTGGAAAGAGTTCCCGGGCAGCATTAATAGTATACTCTAATTTTAGAAAATTTTGGTTCTCCATATTTCCGGTATGAGGGCAAAAGGCCAGGGTAGGTTCACAGACATTTTACTTCAGTAGGTACATAGAGCAGTTCCCTGTTGGATTATGTGTGTTAGTGTTTGTTCGGGGTATTGAAAATTTAGGTATGAAACAGATGCACCGAAAGTACCGAAAATAAAAGTACACCGAAAATTTGCGAAATTACAGTATTCTTTGCACAGGTTCAGTGGAAAGTGAGGCGAGGCGCTAAACAGTAGCTCTCAGTTTAGTATTGAAGTAAACAGAGACGGAGCTTCTTCAAATGAGATGGGGTGGCTGGAAGCGAAAGAGGGAGTTCCCTACAAAATTTCTAGAAGTTTGGGAAGCCACAGACCTCCTAGCACCACCAGCCATGATTGATTCTGCACTGAAACAACGCTAAGGAGAGTTTTGTATTGCTTTCTTTCACGATGATGATAATGATGAATTTCACTGTCAAACTTTGTGACCCTGCCAATACCAAATCCAAGTTAGCATGATTATCAGGCCAAACAAGCCCCGTTGTTCTGGTGTAACGCTGATGGGAGCTTCCTCAGAGCTTATCCACAAAACACACCATGGTGGACTCGGGAGATCATGAAGTGACTGAGACATAGCGTAGAACACGATGGTGGTGATTACGTAGACACTGGCAATGGCTGAGTCGCACGCTGCTATTCAAACCAGGCTTCTAACGTTGTACAGCGGATAGGAGAGCACCGTGAGGTATGCACTCTGCTAAAGAGGCGTGTACCAGAAATTCCCCAGCAAATTGAACTGATTTACAAGCTACGCCAGGACATACTTGCATGTGCATATACAGGAAATATAGGTGAAGATTCTCCGGCTGCGTATTATAGTGCTTGGCACCCAGAGACGGATTGTGAAACCAACAGGTCACACACACCAGAAAACCAAAGTTTCGTTAGGGAATCATACTCAGAGTCTCGTGTTCAGACAGGTGTCCGATGAGACATGGAACTCCAAGCAACAGAAAGAAGAAGTTTGGTATTGGACCTATGTTCTTACAGGTAAAGGTAAAATAGTCTTTTTAAGTATGTATCATATAATTATAATGAGTGCTTTGTAAATACAGCACAAGTACTCACCTTGAAAAGAGTACACTTGGTGCTCAAATTCCATGCCTCACACTTGCTGGAGTTCTCACTACACAGCGGACACATCAGCTTGTACTTGTCACATGCCTCTCGTCTGCACATATACACAAACATACGTCATGCACGCACGTACACACATGGACACAATGACGCATGCACACACGCGCACACACACACACACACACACACACACACACACACACGCACACACACACACACACACACACACACACACACACACGAATGCACACACACAGAGCCATGATGGATACAGACAAATTGCTAGCATAAAACTGAACAACGTGAAGTCAGAAAGCTTTCTCTTCGGCCCAACGGCTCCACTAGTGCGGGAAACAAAGGCAAGCGGGAGGAACATAATGTAGGCTTTGAACATCATCACCTAGTGCAACACAGCATCACCGCATCACAAAGCTGTTTTCCTGTTGGAGAAGGCAGCTTTAAGAGCTAGGAAACTGTCTGTATACGGTAACACCTATGCTTAAATTGTGTATATACAAACTGTGCATAAGGTGAAGGTAGACTGTAGTTGGCAATGAAGAACCAGGTAGAGATAGTACAATTGGCAAAATGTAGTACAGCAGAGCCTACTTCAGAGGACACATCGTTCAGGAAAAGTTTGTTCACTGCCCAATCAAGTAGCAATGAATTCTGTCAAAGGCCACAGCCAGAAGTCATAGAGGACACATATATCTGGTGACTCAGTAGTGTGTCTGAGAAGTTCCAGTGGTCTTCAGCGGAATTCAGTTCCCTCAACCTTATTGTAAGTTAGTGTTATCTTGTATGTGTGCGTGTACCCGTTGTGCACTGTATGCTCCATTGATACTGTGCACCGTCTCTTCTCCTTCTAGCTCTAGACTATCTATTACACGGACAGTATGCCTCCAGTATCGATTCAACCCATATATAGATGTGTCATGCACTGTAGCGTACACTCCAGTACTCTACTAGAATGAATGCAGAATTGTGTGGGCGAGTTGCACATGTACAGTACAGTACAGTACAGCACAGTACAGTACAGAAGGCGATGTCATTATCTTACACTCCTTCATCACTGTTGGCCGTTGCAACACCTCCAATGAACACAATGAGTCCTATCAGAGCAGCAGGTAGGAGCCAGGCTGTATAGAAACCTGCAAACAGCACCATGGACAGCAACACGCACGTACACAATGTCTGTCTAGCCGTTACTACCCAACACAGCAGTTTATGATAGGGCTTGACAGAACGAAATGAAAAAAAAAACCATTTTTCGTATATAAGGGCGTGCACTTGTATGTGGGCTAGTACGGTACGTGACAGCCTGGCAAAAGCCAAGACAATGCTGACATTTGCACCCACTCGGATCCATTTTGTTGTCCCTGGATTGATACACATTTGTAATCTCCCGGGTATCCCTACGCACAGAGCAGTTTATCATGATAGGGTTTGAAAGTGCTGAGCCAGGCCCATGCCACGATAACTTGCTGACTTTTGCACCCCGACTCGGATCCAGTTTTTATCCTGGGATTCATAAATATTTCTTTCACGGCGCTGGTAGTGCCTGCATGGACTGGACTCTCCTGGCCAGGAACACACTGCTAGTACCGAAAGCTCACACCATGCAAGCATTTCAACATGAAATGCTTGGTAAGCAATATGTGGCGTTGGGGTTGAATTTACCGTGCTGTCAGGTATCGAAGAATGGAGTGCCGAAGAACAAGCAGGCTAGAATCCCTCCCAAGTTCAGGTTTTCACAAGAGGGGCACACAAGGGCATTCTAGCGCTCAAAGAGAAGAAGAAAAACGCTCTGACCTAGAGGTGAACTCACCTCAAACACGTGCTCTATCTCTCTCTTGTAATGAAAAAGAATGTATCATTACGGTCTCCAAAGTCTCAATGCTGGGACTTCTGTGATGTAGCACTTCCAAGCTCAAGACTGCACTGCAGTTAGAGTGGAATCCCATTGGACTTGGGCCTGTGAGTCGTTACGCGGACCATTACAGTGCACCCAGAGAAACAAGGAGTGTAGGATTTTGTGAGGTCAGGTCTGGGTCGAATTTAGGCTGAAACCCACATCACTCGAGTCTACACGAGTCTAGCGCAGTTATGTGTGGATGGACTGTATGCCACTCCAATGTACTTGGCCCGACTTATTAAAATGTGTGCTTCACTTCAAAACTCCAGCATTTGTACAAATGAGCACGAGAACTAAAAAATCAACCAAGAGACGGTAGATAGATAACTACTGTATCGTCTCTTTTGCAGACCTTCTAGTTTTCATCCCTGCTGGTGTCTCTAGACGCATCTGCAAGTGCGTCACCCTGCAAAACATCGACAGTTGTTTTGTCTCCTTCAAGCTATGCTGCGCTTCCTTGATTTTGTCAATCAATAGGCCCGATTTGACGATCGCCTTCGCCTCTTCCTCGTGCAGTGCAACTGCCAGAATGGTAGCTGTAGGAGTTTTCACTCGACGTCCCCACGATATATTCAAATAAGGCGAACAGGTAGACCACCACGCACCAAAAACCACTTCTCATCACCGTGTTCCGTGTACTGACAATCTGTGTCATACAGTCTGACCGTGCGCGCTCATCCCTGCTGTACGAATCTATGGGCCACTAATGCACTGTCACCGGAGACAAGGCGGAGCTTTCGCATAGGCTTGATGTAACGATGACGCCTCGCGGCTCCGAGAACTCTGCACCATCCACGCACCGTATCCGCAAAATTCTCTTCGTTCGTTTCAGTTTTCCAGCCAGTTTCTCGCGTGAGAGGCGATTCCAGAGGTGGTTGTTTATTTCGGTCAGCTTCTTGGCGATCTCTTCTGCGATCTTGATTCGTCGGCCGCCACATCGTGGACGACTGCGAGAGACATCAGTAAACTGGACGACATGATGCTTGTGCTGCTGCACGAGTTTCTGGATGATGCGTTTGCTGAAATTCTGCCCAGGAAACAGCGACTGCAGCGACTTCAATCCGCCAGGAGGGAATCCAGGACGATCGCCCACTAGTTTCTGGTACTCTATGACAATTATCCATCGCATTGGGGTCTTGATATCAACACCAGGCCTTCTCAGTGTTGCGCGTGCAGCAACAGGAGTCCTCTGACGACAAAATTTGAACACGAAATACACGAGTCGCCTAGGAGTTTGAGGCGCTGCCTCCCACAAGTGAAGGACACTGTTAGGTAGCTGGGAAGTTTATTCCGTCCTGAGATTATTTGAATTTGTTTGGTAGGCTTCGGAAACGAAGCGCACATTTTAAAAAGTACGACCAAGTAGACTCGGAATAACATCACACATGCAGGGGAATGATATCGCACATGTCTGGGAATGACATCACATATGCAGAGGAATGATATCGCACATGTCTGGGAATGACATCACATATGCAGGGGAATGATATCGCACATGTCTGGGAATGACATCACATATGCAGAGGGATGACATCACATATGCAGAGGGATGACATCATACATAGAAGTGCACCTACCTAGCCAAGCAAAGTAGATGGCTATATGCTCTCCAAAGTAGTCCTTGACGTGATCCAGCGGCTGATACTTGTACCAGCATCCCCAGCGACTCCAGTACTGCCTCAGCAGTTGTCGTGGAGACAGATCCTCCTGCATACCTGACCAATCACTGGACGGAGTGTCGAGACCCTGAACAGGGCACACAATTGGAGATTTCAATGTCACTTTCATCATGCTGATGTGGGGTCCTGTAATGGGTGTAGCCCGCCATGCAGCATAATTATTATTGTTGCAGAACAAAATACCAGAATAGCTCATACATACCTCATGAAGAGGGAATGCTGCCATGTATGATCCACTTTCTACCAGTTGCTCAATGCCTGCAAGAAACACACAGATGCAGAGAGTTGCTACAGTTACTACGGCATCCAATTATGAGAGTAATTTCAAAGTCCCTTCGGGCCCCACGGTCGGAGGCACTTCAACCGCAGCAATAGCACTGTGCGTAATCCCACAGCTGAGTTGACTGTGCACAGATGGGGCACATGTTTGATTCATGTCATCAGTTCTACGTTTGTGCTCCTACCCTGTACGCTCCTCTCTTTTTAGCCCCCCCCCCCCCCCCCTTACCTATTTATGCTACAGTACTGTCGGGCGCCGAAGAACGGACCGCCGAAGAACGGCCAGGCTAGAATTTCACCAATTTTCAAGAACGGTCTTGTAGGCTGAAATTTTTGCAGATAAGAACAGAAACCGTAATGTACACTATAATGTACACTCAGACGTACAACTCTGCATAAATGTACATGTAAGCTAGACTGTCCCATCGAATAAGAACGAAACGGCTGTGTTTGCTAAAAATAAGAACGGGCTAGGCTAGAACCCTGACCCCCAGTTCTTCGGCGCCCGACAGTACTGCAGTAAGTTATTGGATATTGCCGGTAGGTATATGCTATATTTCTAGGCACCAAACAGACGCAGATATGAACGAACAAGTCCAGAACGACATAGAATTTCCATTCCACTAGAGCTCATATCTCCCAGATACATTGTGTGCGCACACCCTATACTTGGAAGATTTGGGACAAGGAAAACTTGCTCTTACAATGAAGAAGCATGACGTGCCCTTCCAACCATTATTTAAAAGCAAAACTACAGATGACTCAGCTATAACCTAGCCAAGTAGTAAATTGGTGTAATGATACTGCGACGTTTACGGCCCGGAACATACCCGAGACCGACCAATGGTCAAGCACAGCCCAAACTAGATTCACAACGCGGACAAAGCATACCAATATCGCTGGGCTCATCACCGAATCGCGTCTCCGTCAAGATTTGATGCACCTGTTTGCAAACAGCACACACAGCAACGGATACAATTTTACACGTTACAATGGATATGAATGGTAGGTCAGTACACCGTCAGCAAGCATGCATCATGACAAACACACAGGCAATCAAAGTGTCAGAGCTGGAATGGAGGACAGTCTGTCTAGATTTCTACAAGTAGGTCTACGGGAAACTAACAGAAAGTGCCCACTCCACAAAGCACCGGCATGCTTAGCTAGACTGGTGAGAATCCACTGGACTATGACTGTGCATGCCACATGCCTTGCACATCAGCTTACATATCCTCCTGCCCCTCCCCCCCCCCCCCCCCCCCACACACACATTCATCATTTCTAGGAACTGGCCCCTGGCCGGTGAGAAGGCATCCTTGCCTGTAAATCTGATGAAGTAAAATAAAACAACAACAACAACAACAACAACAACAACAACAACAACAACAACAACAACAACAACAACAACAACACTTACCATTCTGCAACGCTGCTTTATGCTGAAAAAGCGCTCAAAGTTGTCAGAGTCCTTGTACCTGACAGCAAGAAGCAGAACCCCCAGATAATCGTTACTGCGGCGGTATGCCAAACACATGTACACGTGCAAGCATATGTGTATGCGGAACAGATTGCAAAGGTGAAAAATGCCATGTGCATGTACGTCGTATTAAAACTTCAAAAGTATTCGAATAATCACATCGGTTTTCTTTTACATCGGTTTTCTTTTCTTCAGGAATTGTGACCGGTTGTAGAATGCAATGGAGATGTTGTAACTGGCCGGACGATACTATTTCCAGCCCCGTGCCATCTCCACGCTCAGAAGAGTAACGGGAGGACTACATTGAAAGACTTCAAATCCACAAAGAGACAATGGAACATAACTGGACATGACAAACACAAGACAAAGACAAAGACTGAATTTCCATACAGCAGCAAAACAAAAGGAAGAAGGGTGATGGTAGTTGAATTGCGTGAACTTTCAAACTCAACTAATATTGACTTCCAGCTGTATACAACCAACAAGAGCTGAAGCAAACACTTATCCATCCAGTATTTCTGAAGAGTAGAATTTGAATTGCTGTACATACCTTCCCTGCTTCCACAAGTTCTTTGAGAAGGGACTAGCTACATGCATGGTCGTCTCCTCCACACCGCACCTCAGTGGATCAGAGTTACACACGCCAAAGATCTTACGAGAGAAATGATCTTCTTCCCTATCATAATCCTGCAAGGAGCCAGCAAAGAAGCATATTATAATATAATTATCAATGTGGGAAGTAGTTGGAGCAGCTTCGGCAATCAACCAAATTCAAAATGCTTAAAAAATGCTTTTGCACAAACATAAATTCACAAAGCATAAAGGGGCCCAATTTCTTAGCACAAACATACAAATGCCAAAAAGTAATGTTTTGCACACAGGACATAATTTCCAGCATGATACATAACCATTATTTTCACATTAACAATAAGTACTACTGCTGCCTTGGAAGTGGATGATACAAAGCGTGAACTTTGAAACCGATAACTTTGTATACTTGCAAGTACAATTTAGGAAACTTCACTTCTCAACTCCAAACTCCAAAGACGGTCTCTTCACTGCGATTCAAATTCAAATTAAGATTTACATTGCACCAAATTTTCGGGCCTGGCCCGTCATCAGGATAATGAACTTTGTATGCAACTTTCAACAAATCCTTGCTGAGAGAAATCAGATTCGGACCTTACTCTGACTGTCATTTTGACATGCATTTCCTCGGCTTTGTCCAGTAGCAGGTCTCTGGGAGCGTGCAGCAATACAAAGTGGCGGTTGCTGTCGGTCGTGGCCACACAATCCTGCATCAACCAACATTGCACACGGGAATTGCCCAACACAGCAAAACATTCGTACAGTTCCACACTCTAGTTTTCAAGAGCTGAAGACTGGGGGAAAAACGTCAATCGGGTCGATTAGTGTGGAATCTAATTGACGTGCAAAAAGGCAGAATGGGATATTCGTCATGGCACAATGATCATGCAATGGCGGAAATTTTTTTTGGGGGGTCTAAGCACTTCCAGCAGGGGTGAAAGCAGATTCTGGAGAGCATGAAAGAAGGGGGATACAACTTATACAAGTTTTGGGTTGGTCCATTACTATTTATGCTGCATATGTCAGTGTTGCATGGTTTCGATTTTTGCCAGTTCCACTGCTATTCTCCCCGGGCTCCGCTCTGCCCTCTCGTTGCCTGTTGTTTGCCTGGTGAATTTGTAGGTGCACATGAAGCGACCAGGCAACGTGATGAATGAAGGTATGGGTAGGCTGCATGTAGTCACGCCACTGTGCTCTGCTGAAAGAAGATCACTGATTAGTGGTTACCAATTTAATGTATGCTGTAAATCGGTTACCAGCAATTTTCTTCTGAATGGTGAGGGATTCAGATAAGCGAGGTCTGACTTTACGCCGACTTCACCGTTTCTGAGAATTTCATTTAGATATTGTTTACGACTCGTCGTATGATCTACGTTAAGAGCCTGCTGGGCTGCTGTAGGCTACCAGGCCAACAAAGCATTCCTTGTTGGGATATACTAGGGTGACAAGTGAAATCCAACCTCATGAGCAAACGGGCCAAAGCCGTGCTCGCGGCACATATCCAGTGTTTGTCATGCCAAGGCTGCACCATCTCAGGGCTGGGGTTGGATTTCACTTGGCAGCATTGTATAAAGGAGGAAAGGAGATATCCGCAGTGTTCAGAATTAATCACCTTGGACACATGTGTAACCTCGCTATTTGGACTGCACCAATACACAACGTACAGTGATCGAGTCATCCATGTGGACTGTGGAGCCACCTCAACGGCTGTCATGTGACCATTTTTTCATGCCCAGAGGAATGCTAGTGAATGGAAAGACTGCTGGCAGTCCCATCCATTTGTCTACAAATTCTAGTTCTTGGCTGCACTTAAACAACTAATTATCACCCAGTTAGCCTTAAGACCAGGAGACCTGCATTAGATAATGATACCATCCAGCCTGCCTGGCCACTTTGACAAATTGCCACTTAAGGAGACTATGATGATCCAGCATGTGGTACTTGAAAAAGTACTGGTGTTTGCATGCAGCTCAGTATAGTATCCCCTGCTACTGCTAGGCAATGCACACCACAAGCAAAGCTTTACCTGCAGTACTCTGCTGTGAAACTATGATCTACGCCCCAGGGCCGTATCCAAAGCTACATAGCGTTGTGCTGCACCCAACTTCAAGTTTTGGCTGGCCCCCAAACATGTGAGATCATGCAGTAAACTCTGTATGTGGAGCGATGCATATTTCAATACCTATGCAGAGCCTTGACTAGCCACCCCTCGTCAAGTTCAACCTGGCTACAATCCTGGAATAGTGAACAGGAGGATCGTGGGCAACACTCCATCTCCCAAGCAAGCTCTCCACCACAATGGCATTGCAATATGCATGCATCTAGGATCTCCAGTTGTCCACTGAAACACACTTTCAGGGAACAGGCAAGCATTCGCCTGGTATGCATGTACAGATGGCATGTAACCTCTGCGACAAGCCGGAGATCGATTCACAAGGAAGACGTCAGTGATAGCAATGCCATGTCAGGACACCCTAGGAAACACCAGTTTGGCCACAAACAACAGCCACGGTACGGTTCAGTGCAGTGAACACATTGGTGCATTACTTCTGTTTGAAAAGATCAGATGTACATGTACATACATGTACAAAAACAATGCAGCGGTCGTACACATGTAAACATACAATGATGTAATCAAAACTGGTTCAGGACCAGGATGCCAGCTTTGCACTTTGGGTGGGATTCCACCGAGCCCTAGTGTAGTAGTATAGTACATAGTGGATCTACTCCAATGTCACATGTCACAGCTACATAGTGTACCATGCAGGGACTAGCAAACAGTACGTACCACCATCTGGACGCGATGCCGTCGCAGCCATGCCTCAAACACACGCCGCTGACGGACCTGCTTCTCGCTGTTGTTAGAGTCCTTCTCCCAGACTAGGACGAAATCTGAGCAGATGCAGCGAGGGTAACAACACGCTGGGTAAGTATCTTGATTCTGCACAGAGCTTTCATGAATGGATTGACAAGATCAAGAAATAGTACACAGGAAGCGTGTACACCCGCCTGATGGCACTGTTCACTTTCTCTTTGTAGGTTTAAACATCTACAAACAGATCAGTGTCGTGTTGTATTATTCCCACTGTCTGCATTTCAAAACACGCCAAACTCATAATATATAGCCGTGCTGTGAAAGAAACCTTCCAATCACTGAGCTGTCACACCGCACTCCCCCTGCCCCCCCCCCCCCCCCCCCCGAACATGGAAACCTGCCGATCACTGAGCTGCCCCCCCCCCCCCCCCCCGAGCCTGTCACACAGCACTCCCCACCCCCACCCCCACCCCACTCCGAACATAATTATACTGTTACTTCAAGTATTATTCATCCTTTCTCCTCAGTGGCTACCTGTGCCTATTCGTTTCTCAATACTGCATAGTAGTGCACACTCTGCTGTCGCAGCTTCATGTTTGTTTGTTTGTTTTTTACTTGAAAAGCACATATCCACCAGGAAAGCTGACAAAGAGAAAAAGAGTAGGACAAGACAGATAAAGAGAGAGAGAGAGAGAGAGAGAGAGAGAGAGAGAGAGAGAGAGAGAGACTTGGGTACGGTTTGGGAAGGACAAGACATTGAATGGTGGTCACCACAGTCACAGATATAGTAGCATAGCTGGTGAGGCTACAGTGTGCTAGAGTTTGTAAACCTTGTAGATACTATGTTGAAAAAATTCACGGTTCGCGTGAGACCCAGTGAGCTTCCTACATCCCTTGGATCATTCATCCTTGAACATAAAAAAAAAACCGTAATATGCATCGAAAAAGGAGAAGCATACCAACACGCCGGAGCTGATCGTTGGGAAAGAAGCTGGTGCCTGGTCGGCAGAGTTCCTGAAAGTAGACAGAACAGGATAACAGGAAAGTCCTACAATGTCAGACCAGTATAATTAATCTTCCATGGCCCATATGCCGATTGGTACACCGATTCAGGTGTGCCAAACATGCTTATCTGTCCATCATTGAAACAGCATGGTCTCCGCATATCATAGGCTCTGGAAATCGAAATAGATACATGTACTCCCCAAAAAGCAGTGTCTTTTGCTTTGCTCCATGCCACACATTGGTATCTAACTGCCTTTAAACTGCCTTTGGCGGGAACTCTAAGAGCTCCCCATACTCTTCCAGACCGCTTGAAGCTGATCCTACAGATTCCACCAGGGAAATCCATATACTCATTATCCTGGGTATCCACATAAATATAACTCAGGGGTGAAACGATCATGTCAATTACTTGTCACTTACTCGATGTGTTCATACTCCATACTCGCTAACAGATGTTTAATGTGGCTATGAAGTACTGGGAAGGCTTTTCAGCCACCAAAATGCTGGAAAAAAAACAGGCAGGCCAATCCACTCTTTTACTCTTATGATACCTACGATGGACAACTTGTGATTCGAAGTGGTTTGGTATCTGTGCAGTGCCTGCTCCAGCGCCGGGTGAGCCGGGTAATCCACCCGGTTGGGCGGCGCTTGGACCCGGTTGAAAATATAGTACCGGGTCACCTGTGACCCGGTTGGTACTTTACACTTTCGAACTTTGAAAGGACTGACCACATGGCTTGTATGTGTGAGATACTTCTTCTTCTTTCGTAATTTTCTAATTCCTGCCCTCTCTTTTCTAAATGCGGCTTATCCATTCGCCTTTATGTCATTGGACTTAGTTCCCGTTTATTGTCCGAATTAAAATAAACCAACCAACCAGTTAAAGCATGTGCCTCGGCTGGTGAGACAGCGCCAGGTACATGTGTACCCGGTTACGACCCGGTTGAAATGGTTGCGCCAGGTACACGTGTACCCGGCTGTCCTACAATCCTAGAGCAGACACTGCTGTGGTCTCAAAATTCTGACCTGCTTCGCTATTATAACATCCATGCAACATGTCAAGTTTTTGCCACAGCGATTGTGATCAGGGTGCTGTGTGGTGGTGTTGGAGAGCTTCAAGAGTCCTGGTTGATTTCTTTAGCATGATGATACAGCGTGGCTCAAAGAAGAAGCTACGGCAGCTGCAATGCAAGCTCAAACATAGTGTTTCCAACATCCTACTAACGGTATTATATGAACTATACCGAACCATGCATGGCTCAGACTGTATGTGGCTTGCATACTGCCGGCCAAAAAGTACAACGACCTGAACACGGCTCCCTGGGGCCATGGAGGCCCTGGCTTAGATGATAGACTATCAGTGTTCCTCGTAAAGCAGCATCGCTTGACAGCTAATTACCCGGCCTGGTCACATTGTTGAGAGCGCTAAGACACGCGAGTACCAACACGCATTGGAACACACGTGCGTGCAGTGCCGTTATGCTATACTGTATTCATCACCTCCAACCCCAGTAGTTCCGGGATGGAATAGCCTGGGGTGGCGGCAGTGTCAGACCGGCCGTAGAATTCCATGATCACTAGACCCTTGCTAGCTTCATTTCCTCCAAAACATCATCACAGTTTGTATCAGAGTCAATCAGGTTAACCATTTTTCTGCATCTGCAGGAAAACCACCACCCTGAAGGACCAGTCCGCATATGCAGCTCCTAAAGTCGTGGTACGCGAGTACATTAGACCCACCATAAAGTGGTCAAGGACTGATAATTCCGTTCGCTGCATGCATGTTACCCCGTGACAGGCCATGCGTTCCCAAGATCTTCAAATAATTATAACAATTAGTCGTTTGCACTCCGCTTAAATGTCAATGCCCCGAGTATGATGTCAATGATCCGGCTATGACATCATTCATATCGATAGTGATGCCACTGATAACAGCAGTGCACATGGCCCTGCACTGATCATGCATGCAAACACGAATTTCAACCGCCTAGCTCGACTCTGATGTCTCAGTTATGGTGCATCAATCCATTCCCTTTTCACTGGTGTGCTAATCAATAGCATATTATTGCAATATTAAACACAGAAATATGGCAGCATCCATTAGTTCTGGTGAAGTGTTGTGTAGGCATATCGGCACACACAGAGATAAACACAAGCACTTGCTTGTCCTCACGGTCATGCAGGTCCTCTATTTTTTTTATATATTTTTTAAAATATAAACGGTTCTTGGATATGCATTTACGCATACACATAAACATCATCCACGCTGGCTGGCGTGGCTGTCCGACACATTAAACATACCGTCACTTTGACCTTGCGCAACTCCTCAACGTACGCAGCCGTACCGCCGACAAAAGGCAACACCGGATTGCGCGTACTGTCTTTGCCATGCGTTGCCGCTCCATCCACTTGGTCGGCCGCGCCAGACTGCGCAGGCTGCGGGGTTGTTCCGCTGCCCGTCTGCAGCAGGTGGATCATGTGCGACATGCGATTCAGCGAACCCTGCGTGCCCGTGCGGGATCCGGATCCGCTGGAATCGTAGGAGGTCTGCCCTCCGTCCGACATCAGTGCGGTCCGCTCTCTACTGGCCATGGCGGTGATGGTTCAGGGCCGAACCACTACACAGCTGCTACATACACCGGCTGCCCTTGTTGACATGAGGAATACACCAATACTGGCGGAAGACGTACCCGACAGATGTATCCACAGCTGCTCCGGGCCCCGTGGACACCGGGCTAACACCGGTTGCAGCCGCCCTTATCCGTCAACACCTGTCCAGCAGCGAGTGCTTGACGGAACTAAGAAGCGGTCGGCAAGTTTGTGCGCCGACAACGGCTATATATGCGAGTCGGAACGTTCCGTCGCACCTGCCGCCCAAGCCTATTTCCTTCCGGTGTCGCTCTTGAAGCGAGATGAACGCTTCTTGGTGGAGTGTAGAAGAATGACTCAACTGGTCGTCGCCATGTGGCCTGATTTACGCTCTCGCGTCCCAACGAGTACTGCGGAGCGACTTCAGCAAGGTGAGCCCGGTGACACAAACAAGCAGCAACCGAAACAGTTCGCCGAATGGTAGCAAATACTGCTCCGTCACACAGAGGAGTGAGCAGCGAGTTTCCACTTGTACTCCGCTGCTAGGCCTCGCACTCCTCGACAGAGGACAATAATTTACCGGATAACTACGAACAGGGCAACAGGCGATCGGCTGCGCAGGTTTTCTTCCTCTGTCGTAACTCCTAACCTTCCACAAGTACCGGTAACAAGGACTCGTGAGTCTAAGTCGTACATTTCTATGGTCTCCCTATCCCCGGCCCTAGTACTACTGCCTTGACTCGAGCACGCATACACATGCACCGCGTGCGCATGGTACCGCACTGCCACTATGTTTTATTTTCTATTTCGACTGTCGATGTCATCTGCATATCTGGTCATCACCATGATCACGCAACACTCCTAGCGCCTGCGCCGCAACTGCGCAAGTAGTTGCGGAGTACCGATACGAGTGCGGACCGCCGGAACCAGTCGACCGCGCGCGCGAGCTTGAACTACATGTACTTTGCTGATTCAGTGATTAGATCAGGTTTATACATAATAGCTAATATAGGTCCGGAACTTCGGATTCTGCCCCTATAAGTGAAATACTAACCTGCCTGCATGAGGAGATTCCGTCCATGCCACCTGTTGACCTACATAACATGTACATAAGTACTAGTACAGTCGTCCCTCTCTAATCCGGCACTTTATAATCCAGCACCCTCGATAAACCAGCACAATTTTCAGTAGCCAAAATGTCCTCTTCATGCACATTGCAGCAGTAAATCAGATTTGTTAATCCAGCACCCTCCCTAATCCAGCAGATTTTCGTGGCACAAATGGTGCCGGATTATAGAGGGACCACTGTACTAGTGAGTACTAGGTTAAACCTAGTTTGTTCAAACATGTATACCAGGGTCCATACATCCTGTACACACACCTTGTACACACTCTCTCTAATGGTCTCTAGGCTACACTAAAGTCATTAGCTCAAATTTTCGGGCAAGGCCCATCATCAAAATTAATAATGTATATCAATTGCAGTGGAGCCTACATGTAGAGACCGTTAGAGAGAGTGTGTACAAGGTGTGTGTACAGGATGTATGGATTCAAGTATTGGCTACAGTGGAGTCTCCAAACCTTGAGAAAAATGTATACCAGGGAGTCGTATTATATACCCGGGTCTATACGACTCAATGATGTATACGTATAGGATATTGACCAAGACGAGGTCTATATGGGAAATATAGGCCGAGTAAAAGACCGAGGTCCGCCGAGGTCTTTTACGAGGCCTATATTTCCCATATAGACCGAAGTCGAGGTCAATATCCCATTTATCATGATTCCTTTGCCATAACCCCAAAATTTGAACCTTTAGGAGCTATTTTAACCTTTTAAGTATAGCATTTGTACTATAGTGTACATGTACATAGGATGTTGCCTATTTTAGGTACAAGACTGTAAGAACAACAGAGTTCAGCATCTGCAGCACAGTGGCTGGGTGGTATAAGGGGTTGCTTGAGATTCATACTGTTGTGAGTTCGAATCCTGCCTGTTCTCTTCCTTTGTCTTCTTTCTTTCAATTTTTCTTTTTGAAGTGGAGAGAAAAATTCTAAGTCCCTCCAAAGTCGAAAGATTACAATGCCTAAGTGGTCGATACAAGCGGTCGATATAAGCGGTCGATATTGCGGTGATATGGGTAATATAGGACCAGTCAAGGATCACGAGAATTAGTGGAGGTCGATATAGAAGAGTGATAAACAGTAATGTTGTTGGTGTCAGCATGTAGCAAGGTGGAGGACACCGTGTGGACTGTTGTCATGTAGCAAGGTGGAGGACACCGTGTGGACTGTTGTCATATTATGTAGAAAGGTCACTGTTTCCGAACACGGTCACGGGTGTCGACATGTCCTCCACCTTGTTAGTTACATGCTGTCAACCAACAACTCAGTACTGTTACTAGTCTGTCCCTCCAGGAAATCGCGATTCCACGGATGCAACAAATTTCGCGATTTTGGCCAAAACCCGCAAATTTCTGAAAAGTCCCCGATTTCCCGCGTTTTTTGTTGTTTTCTGCACTTCTTTTTACATTTTTCTGCACTTTTCACGCAGTATACAGTGCTTTCCATGATCCTGCTCGTACGTTATTTGCACAGTACGCAAATACTGAAATAGCGATTCTAATGATGCAACAAATTTCGTGATTTGGCCCAAATCCGCAATTTCCTGCCAATAATTCCGCGAGTTCCTGGCAAGTTCCGCACTTTTTGCCGCGTTTTTGTTGTTTTCTGCCGCAATTTCTTGCGCAAGTTTTCTATGACTTTTTCCGCAAATTCCCGCAGGGACAGACTAGTACTATTGTAGTACGTGTACTACTACTACTTCTACTACTACAGTACTAGTAGACTACAGTGAGGCTGTGTTTACATGAAGCGTTTCAACCCGGGTTGAGTTCGACCCGGGTCAGATTTCAACCCGCCATGTGCACAAAGTGAATGGCGCGTTTACATGACGCATTGCGCTTGACCCGGGTTGAAATTTCGCCCCGGGTTGATTTCAACCCTCCCCCCAAGGGGAGGGTTGAAATCAACCCTGTGATCGAATCCATGTGTTCAATGCATTCTAGGTTGCTAACATAACAAACCGGACCAGACACGGTATGGACTCATGATTGTATGTAGGTGTGAACAAGTTAGTTTCTGGCAATGTTGTGGTGTTTGGTTTCCGCCCAACATTGTCGATCTGCATGTTTGCACTAGCGTGCAGCTGAACCAACGCAGCCGAACCAACGTGCCTTGCAATGCTTTGCTAGGCTTTTCTTTCACTGTATCTTTTTGGTCACATATAATACCGTACACTTTTCTTACTCAACAGAATCTTAGAACGAAGAAGGAACGGTCGGTTGTTGTCTTTGGCGGTGTGTCGGATCATAGTGCATGCTACTAGGCGCCATTCGGTTACAGCACTTTTTGGTGCCGAAACCCGGGACTCAGGAGTTTGTGTTGTAACTCGGAATAGTCGGGCGAATTGGGTAGCAGTGCGAGATGGCCAAAGTCGAATGCTTCTTGAGACCGTTCCGCGGGGGTCGGGACGACCTGAGCGAATTCTGGGCGAAGTTCTCAGTTGTCGCGGACTTGCAGAAGTGGGACTCGGACGAAAAGAAGATGGCGAATCTACCGCTCTATCTCGAGGGTGAGGCGTTCACCGTGTGGAACGAGATGGCGGCAGCGGATAAGAAGAAGCCGGCCGATGTGAAAGCGAAGCTGACCGCCGCTTTTGGGATGGCACCGGATCAAGCATACTCGATGTTTACGTCCAGGATCTTGCGAGGAGACGAGTCGGTGGACAACTTCGCAGCGGACTTGAAGAGGCTTCTCACCTTGTCTGGTGAGCAGGTTGATGCTGATGGGAAGAATAAAATAGTGATCGGGCAGTTTCTCTCCGGGCTTCCCTCTCAGTTTGCGAAGGAGCTCCGTATGAGTGGAAAAACGGACACCATCGACGATTGCGTGGAGTACGTCAGGCGGCTTAGAAGCGTGGAACGATCGATGAAGCCCGGTGTGGCAGCAGTGAGCTACGGTGCTCTAGACGATCGGGCTCCATCAGGCTCTTCCAGGATGACCGCTGCAGCAGGTGTAGGTCGCGACTCCGCAAGACGTGTCCTGTGTTACAAGTGTGGTCAAGTTGGCCACTTCAAGCGGAACTGCCCTGCGAGCACGAGTATTGGTACCGGTAGCCACAAGCAAGCCAAACACAGTCAGCTGACGTGTTTATTCTGCGACGAGGCTGGGCATATGATGAGAGATTGTTCGGAGTTCAAGGCCTTCAAGCAGAAGAAGCAGCGGGGTGGGAGTGCAGCCGCTGCTCCTGTGCACTCTGGTGATCATGGTGACTCCAAGGTGTTATGCCTGAGCAGTGGAGGTGACAGTCTGCCACGGATCTTTGTGGACATCAAACGGTCCGGCGGTCCAAGCAAGCGTGTAGTAGCTGCTGTGGACACCTGTGCATCCCGCTCCCTTGTAGCTAGCGCCCTGGCAACCGACCTAGCTTTGGATATCAGGCCTACGTCATCGACAATTAATGCGATCGATGGCAGTCCGGTGGATGTCCGTGGCGTCGTGGAGTGTACAATCTCACGGCTGGATAGTGCTGTGGTTCGCCTACGTGAGACCGAGACTGACATGCTGGTGGTGGACGACCTGTCTGTCGTGGAGGCTGATGTGCTGATTGGAGTTAACAGCATCGCGACTCTGGGTGGTGTGCATATGCAGTATGACGCAGGAGAACTGGTGGGGGTTGTATTCGGGACCGTCAATGCTGCATGCCCATTGGTGCTGGCGTCGAGCACCCCAGATGAGCATCCATCACGCCCCGAGTCGGAAGCACGAGCCGTCGCTGAAGACTTTCACCACGCGGACGTGGAGAAGCTCAGCAATGGCGATGTTGTGCTGCGGGCATCAGATATGATCCTCCGGTGGAGTACGGCTGACAAGGCGTGGGAGGTGCAGTGGCAATGGGCGGACAAGACGGAGCCGACTACGTGCATCGGGTCAGGCCTTGGAGAGTACCCACGATCCAAGCTCTCCAAGGAGCAGGAACAGCTATTTGGAGATGAGGTTGAAAAATGGCTCGGCAACGGCTGGCTAGTGAAGCATGACGTCGAGAAGCATGGTGAGCCGAGATGTGTGCTGCCTCTGCTCGCTGCTACGCAGGAGCATAAGGCATCAACGCCAGTTCGGCCCTGCCTCGACTACCGGCTCCTCAACCAGAAGCTGACGTCGCACCCTGGCACAGACGCTCCGGCATGTGGCGAGACGCTACGGAGGTGGCGTCAAGCGGGCGTTCCGCAAGCGTATCAGCTGCTGGATATCAGCAAAGCGTACCTACAGGTACGCATTCATCCCGATTTGTGGCGTTATCAGTGCGTGGTGTGGCGTGGCGAAGTGTACGTCCTGGAGCGGATGGGCTTCGGGCTGTCCGTGGCTCCAAAGGCAATGGACTTGATCGTGAAGTGGGCCACGCGTGATCTCGCTGGCGTAGACAACTACGTGGATGATCTCTACGTCCCAGAGCAGCTCGTCGACCGCACCAAGTCGCGGCTCCTGGAGTATGGCCTGCCAACCAAACCGGCTGAGCCAGCTGTGAGTGCGCGTGTGCTAGGTCTGCAACTTCAGGCTGATGAAGAGGGGAGTGTGTCGTGGACGCGTCGCGAAGGTGTGTCTCTACAGCTACCCGACAAA